ATATATTGCAATTGTAATTTGAAGACTCCAAGCACGCGCTGTCTATAGTTTCGATACATGGCGTAAAAGCCGAGCGAAGATGAATCCCAAAGTAACCATAGCAGAGTGAATCAGATCTTGAGCGTTTAAAGGCGCGGGCCCTATGCTCTATGCTGCTCTAGACAACGTCTACTGTTAGCAGTAATCGTTGTTGTCGTGACGTCTAGCGTAGCTACACCGAAAAAATGAAAATCGTTCAAACTGTTTCGGCGATCGGCCCGAAAAATAGAAACCATCTAGGAGCAAAATTTAAAACCGTACAATGTTATAAATAGCAAGCAGGATGACCAGTTTTAATGGTGGTATATAGGCGAAGGATTGTAATAAGGCTTTGAGGACAAAAGACATTCCTTCCGCCACCGGTCACGGTTCAGGTATTTCGCTGTGGCGGGGATAGAGTGCGGTAAATAACGACGCAGTTCTAAGTAGTAATATATTATTGGCGGCGGTTATTTGTCAAGCAAATTTATGAGCGTTTCAGATTTAAGATAATGTTACATCTACTTTAATTACGTTTTCTACAGAAACACTAGAGCCAATAATACATCCGCATCATGGTACCATCGAGCTCGAAATGTTACATCGGGCAAGTAATTCCTAAAGCCCAATGCTGCTTTCTTTGTCCGAACGTGAATGTTACCTCGGAGGCGGCGAAACCCGCGAGTGTTTTTTTTTGTTGGTGTATCCTTAAAGTACAGAATTTTTTGTCTATTGAGTTATATTACTAAAATCATTGTACTGGATCCCATTGCCATAACCGTTGCTGGTTGTAACTGTTCCAGTCCCTATTTAGTAACCCGTGGATAGAGTAAACTAGAACTGTTTACTTGTGTCGTTAAAAAGCACAAAAGCATTTCCATAATTTAAATTATGGCTCCATATTTGTGCGTCTTTACCATGAAATTGAGCTAGAATGAAATTGGATTAAGGTACACAAGCGTCAACATGTTTCCGTGTACACGAGAGTTAGTAGAGTTTGAGCGTATCAGCCTTTTCCCTTACGAAAAAGGTTACATACGTCTATAAAAAGCTTTGGAAGCTATTAGCTCGAAAGCTGCAAAATTGAAGACGGCAGGGCGCAGAAGGGTACTCTCAAATCACATTTTCTAGAGAACCATCAACCGGAGAGAGTTCATCAAGGATACAGATGCGACGTAGATGTATGGAATTATACAAGGGCTAGAGCAGAGCAAAACTCGGAATTTGCGAGTTTTGGTAAAGCCGGCAGCCCTACCCCGCATATCGTTTGGGTGTTCCGTTGAAAACTCTACCTATAAAGTTACAGTTAATTCCCATACCTCGTGTCTAATTCGGAAAGTTTCATAGCACTGGCCACTCATTTAACCGTTCTCCATAATAACACCGTGCACTTCCTCCCTTTTGTTTGTTTCTAAAATGTTCTTCGAGTCTCGCTGTTGACTGATGACATCATGAAACAGTGATGGCGCACCCTTATTTTTAATGCCATCCAGGGAACAACAAGTGAATTACGGCCGGACTTGCTTTTTGGTCTAGTGCATTTACATCAATATTCTACCGCGTTCGTTATAATATAGAGTATAAGTCACTGAAAAAAACATTTGAACAAAATCGATTATGTAAAATATGACTGACTACTTAATAATACTCAAATAGTGATCGATAGATTTAAGGGAAGCAGGACGCCTTGTCTAACTCTCCGTATTGCTGGGACGCCTGAGAGCAAGTTCAAGTCTAAACTAGCGAAACAACGGTGCCGATCCTTTCAGTAGACAACTAAATAATATTAATTATTTCAATATGTCTGCAGTAGCCGTTTCGAAAAATAACAATCGGTTTGGCACTATACTAATAACATTTGCATTTAAACGCTTGCGATTGCCCTGACGTGTCATTAAAGAGTGAGACCCTATCGGACATAACCGTTCGATCGCCGTGCCTACTATTATAAAATTTCCAATAAATTCGGGTTCCTGTGAAGCGGTTCTGTCATATGGCTCAGTACCGCAAATCTAATATCTATCTGTCGGGCTCTTGCAAGGCTATTTTTATTGCTATTGCTTGGTGGTTTGGCCTTCTCTTTTATAGAAAAATTTGAATTCCGCGTAACCTAGCCGCATTTTATCTACCTAAGTAAGCAACATGCGATAGTGGGTCCAGCATTTCATCTGCCCACTCCCATTTTATACAGACTATTGATACATACGCGCACAGTGAAGTATGGCTTTAATAAATTCATGAATTTTTTCCAGATTCGCCCTGAACTACGGAAATGTCTTGAGCATGCCGCGTGGGAGTCGGAACGAAAAGGCGTTGAAGAAGCACTTGTCCCGCTCTATGAGTACCTTGAGAAAAACTTCGCCAATACTTATTCGGTAACTATAACCACTACGTGTATTGTATATGCAAAACGGTATGCGGCATCGAACAAAAGGCTTCGATCAGGCAGTTAGTACGCCATTCAACTCAAGACAGTGTTAAACAAACGTACGTTACAAATCCTGCTGAGTAACTCCAAGTGATCAAGCATCTCCAATCTCTCTATAGAAAGCTAAATTGCTATATCGTATTTCAGAGTTTGGAGCACATCAATTTTTATAGATCTACCGAAAATATTTGGAAAGTTATGCTGGAAGAACTCGATGCCATTGCTTGGACGAATCGTGGAGCTAGAGTTTCCTTCTTTACCAGACTTGATGATGCTGCGGAAAAAATGGCCGCCCATATTCATGGCAACGGGAACGGGCTTGCGATGAGGGACGTTCAATCGAGTGAATTTAAGGTATATTTTCTTCCTTGAAACAGTGTAAAAGTTTTTGGGGTACGCACAAAGAAGTTGATTTTACGCGGCGCCAAATCATTGAAGAAACCAAGTGCTAGATAAAGTAACAGCGATCTAACCTGACTATGCTTTTAACTGGAGAAATTTACCTAACGAGAGCGATATGAATATATATATATATATATATATATTGATGACTAACGTACTTTTGGATATGCCATATAACCCAGATGGCACTGCGTTATATGGCGTATACGTATTTGACCGAATGTGCCGTAACCAGACTTGTCTTGTCACTCGCCTTTATATCTCTTATACTTATTGTATATGGGGAAGCTCGAACAGAAAGCCAGTTTAGCTGAATTACGGCGAGATCAATTGCTTTGCTAGTGGAGATGTTTTTATAGAAATGGGCTGATTAGCTGAAGTATACTTCGCTTATCGAGAAGCAGCCGTTATCTTTTGTCAGACTTAGATAGAGCTGTCTGCTTAACTTGATAATATTTCGTCTGGTACGGTTATCAATAATATTTACTGATCTCGTTCGTGAAGTTCCGATAGCAACGATACGAATGGACACCTAAGATAGCTGTCAATGTTGACGTAAGGCTAACGTTGATACCGCAACCCACGGCGCGACTGCTCAGTTAGTTTAAACGGGTGTCGAGCTTCAAGTGGGCGCTTTGAAGTTGAAAAATCATAATATTTCTGTATCTTATTTTCGTCGGCTTAAACATGTGGTAGCTTAAACAAAGGAAGTCAGGCTTAGGTTTAGAAACGTATACTTTTAAAAAGAGAAAATAGCGTACCTGAAGCGCCGCTTAACAACGTCAAGTTCCAAACAGTTATTTAATAGAGGGTTTCGTATAACGTTGAGCACTAAGCTCGAAAATATATCTTTAGCTGATGTCGACCGACTTCTGAATGTAAGGAAATAGACCCACAATCTTCATGGTAGCTCTGCTAATGACGAGCCCAAACAGTCGGACGCTATCGACGGTAGATGATAATTGCTGGTGCATGAAGTCTAATATCTTTTAAGTGGCTCACCTTGTCCTAAGCAATTAGCCTCTCGTATATCCGGCCTGAATCGGATATGGACATACAGTTCAGATAGAAGTTCTGTTTAAAGATCTCAGATCAAACCGGTTTAGACAAGCACGAAGCAACTAAGTAAGCCTATTTAGAATATTCACATTACTAGCACGATACAGAAAATATTATATTCTATAATAGTTTCCGTAAATTAGAGATTGACGAACAGAGCCTGCCCAAAGACTACCCAACTAAATGAGTCATTTGTCTCATACAGAGTGACTTATCATTTTTGTAACGGACAATGCGGCTTCATCAAGTATCAAGATTTTAGTTATGGCTGTCTACTAAGGAGCAGTTCTATTTTGCCACATCCTAACCGACAAGAACACTGAGGTTCTTTAAATCACTGGCGCTTTTTATGCGTTGATGCCTAAGCAAATGTATTACTTAATAATGCGACCTAGTTGCGATCAATAATCTTGTTCTTTAAGGCTTTTTATATATAACCACATAATATTTGTAAGTAGAAGATTTGTTAACCAGTGGCTCGGGCCGAGTAGATAAGGTAATGCCATAGCCTACGCGATGGCCTCTTGAAGCGATTATTACATGTCCTTACGGTCATGTGTCGAACTTAAAGTGTAACCGTTGTACAGATTGGAATGTGCCTCAGTTAGACCTGTTGTTGACTTCGCTTTTGATCATTTTTATATGCTTATGTTATAAAACCGAAGGGCTGTCACGACTCGACTCAAGCGATAATGACAATGAGGCACGGGAGTCCTATTAATTTCTATGGAGGGCAGGAGTACGAACCACAAGTTCTCGAGACATGTTCACCAGAAGATTCCGATTACAGTTAGTAGGACCAAAGCTACCTATCAAAAATGAACAAAAACGATCTTTCTGTCTTCGGGAGTTATACAAACACACATCTAATCTAATTTATATATGCATATATATAAGTTAAATCTTGTGATTGAAAGGTGCTGTTACTATCAGCAAATGTTAGATGATTATACATTTTGGTTGGTTTTGGTCGTTGCAGAAGTTGAAGGTCCATCTCGTTCAAATGTCTTCTCCAACAAACGCGTTAATTGAGGAGTATCTCGTGGCGAGACTAGAGCGGCAAAATAACCGCATCGAAGCGATTCGTCAAGGCGCCCATCCATACGGGTTTCTTGCAGTCAAAGCGGCGATTCTATCATTTGACCAAGTGATTTACATTCACGGTAAGGCGAAATAGCGGAACGCTTTACAGATATACATAAATTCTCAAGTTATATATCGATATGATCGCGAAGTCAGGTTGCAGCAATGGAACCGAGTTGTGACAAGAAATGGCGCTTTAGTGAATCGAGCAGCGTCTTCTGAAACCAGCTGTCTCTAATGGGTTTCCTACGTTTTAAGCATGGTGTTGTATTTGCTTCGTTATTACTTATAACTTAGCCAATAAGGTTCATGCGCTAAAGAGCAACACAAATGATTCTAGTCCTATGAAGCGGATTTTTTACGATTCAGAGCACTTATCCTATAAACTGCGACAGCAGAGGTGATTTAAAGATGACGACCACAAGATAATATTATGGTAATCGATTAGAAAAATACAAATCAACGATGGAAGTATGAGGTACGATATTCGTTGTCTATTCGAACGAATTTAGCTGGTATGTTTCATATAGTCGTTGTAAATAAAATGTTCTTATAGATCTAAGTTTATTGACTAACAATGTAGCTCGGTTCTTTTTCTTAATTTCAAATATGGCATTTATGTATATAAGCTGTCGGAAGTGTGGCATGTCAAGGAAGGGCACGTTCTTAGGATAAATAAGTTCCTATAATTTATATAAAACAATAACAAGCTGAGGTTTTGTCCACGACCAGACATATAAAGCTGAGTAGCAGCAAACGACAAATTAGAACGGAAAGAATAAGAATAAGGAGAATTCCTAGTATGTCCTGAATTCGAAAATCCTAGTAGACATACACGTATGTGGGGGGCCAGCGTGTCTCTGTGTGGCTTGTGATCGGTGTGCACATCAAGTGGCAGAACGATCAGAACCTAGCAAATGTTCAGGAACTAAAATTGAGAACCAATGTTGATAATCAAAGACCCATAATGTCGATGAATACTTGTAAAAAGAACGGTCTAGAATTGGTAACCGCAATTGATGACTGGCATATCGATAAACCATTACTTTTTCCGTAACTCGTCTGCGTAAGAAGCTGCTCTTAAATGGCTGTGATTCGTGATACATTTGAAAGAAATAGGTGGAAATCATTAGGCGGTAGTTATCGAAGGATCATCTAATTAATACGCCTATATAATGTTAATCTGTGATTACAGTACTACGAGCTCGGGACCTCACAGCTATGGACACTAACGGACTAAGTGATCCCTATGTTAAAGTGGAGCTAATGCCCAGACATTTATTTCCTGATGCAGCCGTCAAAAAGACGCAGATTGTCAAGAAGACGCTCAACCCTGTTTGGGGAGAGGAACTAACTCTGTAAGGATAATAATGTCTTTTGTGTTTGCAAATTGAACTCGTGTAGAAAATGTAACGTTTCTGTTTGAAACGAACTCGTTTGAATCTGAACTTTAAATACTAGGTGTCAATAGAGCCTACTGATGAAGTGGACTTGAACAATAGAACTTGAATTAAGTTAATGACTAGGCCGATTTTCAGTCTACTACAGATCTATGTATAGCCAACGTATATCGTACTCGATTGACATTTTTAGACAGATTCCTAATCTGACCATCGACGAGGCTGTAAATCGAGCCGATTTTGGTCCATCGGTTTGCATCAGGCTAACCGTCATGGATCACGATCTCATAAGCAGAAACGATTTTGAAGGCGAGTGCTTCCTGTCCCTACGAGAGCTGTCTATCATCGACACGTCTCAGAAGAACCGAGTATCCACAGAGGATCTAAATGCTCTTGATATACAGGATATGCCGCTGACTCAACCTCTTGAAAATGGTAAGCTGTAACTAACGGAAACACATGCTACTCATTCTACTATCTGGTGAGTAAAAAGAAGGATCGCTTACTTACTCAGATTCAACCTTCTCAGGACCACTTTATGACTCTGATCGAAAAATAAAACTACGTAACTAAATGTTGATGCCCTTGTTCTAATGCCGTTCTAATGATAAGGCTGTTAATGTTCGACCGAAGTAAAAAACACTGTGGAGCGGCCAGCGAGTTCTATTGAAGGAACCTTTTGGTATCGGAAACAGGATTAAATGATGTTGAGCGCTAAGCTAATCTACTATCGCGTTACGGTTGTTTTCTAGATGAGTACCTGAGCATTTTGGAAAAACGCGCCTGGGACTCCGATGCGCAAAAGTTTGCCAGTGAACAGAGAAGGAAACAGATGTGAGTGAAACGTCCGCCGACCCATGACTCCTCATGAATTGATAGCGCACCTTGGTGATGAAATTTTCGTAAAGACGGCTCACCAATTAAACAACGGGCTTTATTGACGCTATACTTCCGTTCTATACTTATACGCTATATAAGATGAAAAGTGGAACAAAGGTAACAAAGCCTGACACGTCGCTGACTGTAGGAAATATTATATATTAACGTCTTCTATAGGCCAGCACAGTTTTCAGTTAAATGCCCAGCTGAACACTTAAATATATGTAACTATATAATTCGTCAAGTTCGAATTAATATTTAATAAATGAAAGATACTGACCCGTTGTAATGTTTTCGGTATTAACGATGTAAATGAACGGTATTATCATATTTAGTGGGATGAGATGGCAACATAACGCAAGAGAACTGTCTCGTTGACCTAAAGTCTGATTAGGTGTTCTTCGATTCTTCGAAAAAAAGGTCGATACACTGTCAAAATATGACGACTAGAACGTGGAACAATACGCTAATCTAGCATCTAGTATTAAATTTAATTATTTCATGCATTACCATTAAACTATTACATACAGAATTATACAGTAGTGAATGATAATTAACCCTAGAAGAAATCTCACACCACCGCTTTTCCGTTCCTATTATCATAACTCGTTATCATTAGCGTCGCCGCCATTTTGTTTTTGTTGTCAAATTATTGCCATACGTCGTATTATATTCAATTGAGGTCCTAGTCATCTCCAAGAGGTGTCCGTTTGTGCCTCTCTTTTTTTTCTGCTGTTGTAAATAATAGTATTCAATGAGCAACTATAGTAGTTTATAGTAATCACCATAGTATTGTTAATTTATGGTATTCAATTTACTTCTGCCGGGTTAAATGTAAAGCGTTAACCGTCCATTGCGCCATTAATCGCGCCGGCGCAACTTCCTTCTACAGTTTTGACATATTAGTTACATAGCAGCCCTTACCCCCTGCTTTGCTCTCTCTGTCCGCATGTTTTTCGTCAATGTACAGCCTTAAAGCAAGACTCTTACTCTAGGTACGTCATTTTAGCTTTCTTTCTCAAAATGTCTTGCATTTCCTTTGCGTTAGATAGCTATATAGCATAAGGAACGTTCGTAATCCACGATTCGAATCCTTTCTCGTAATAGAGACAAAAGTTCAGGGCACATCTGCTGTTGTTGTTATTGTGTGACAGTACATATGGAAATAAGCTTAAATATTCTCATAAACTTCACCAAGTACATGGTAACAGATGACCTGGATAGAGGTATTTACAGACCAATAATTTGTAGCGATGTAAACAATGGCGCCGAGGGCAAAGGCACAGAAGGGACACAAAACTCTAGAGGGCGCGTGTTAATCTAGCCGGCAGCTCTATCTTCCCTAACGGCAAGATCATTCTGCTTGCAAAAAGTAAATATACAATTTACAGTTTACAATTAGTGCAGGAAACACTGGAACGATATACTTTTAGTTTTAATAAAATGTTATTTGAAGAAACCAGTTGAGTCCAACAGAATTCATATTCCCAGAGATATCCTATTTATATCTTTTTGTCGATTTTGACATAGCCTCTTTGAGGTAACAAGCACGAGTTTCTCTATTGCTTATGCGGCTCTCGATGACCTGTTAGGAAGTTGCATGATATACACTGACGTATACAAGAACATAAGATGGCAGTCGTCCAATTGAGAGTGGAAAATGCCCTTTCGTTGTTTTTATGCCTTGGTCCATGCGCATGGATCTGGATATGTGATTTTTCGTTACGCGTCCGGGATATAGTTGCAACAGATGTCCACAATGTTAAGCTGACATTCTGGACAAAGCGTGAACTGGACTAATTATTACAGTTACTGCTGAAATGACACGCTTTAGGCCGGATGAAAAAGCGCTACGATATATCGTATATCAATATATTGAATCGTATATGTTGAATCATATATGTCGAGTCATGTAACAACGGCGCTGTCATGTGGGTGCATCTTGGCTTTGACAAGGTATAACCTTAATTGTTTTTGCCTGAATTTCAGAGTTGCCCGAGATGAAGATTAGGCCGTTCGCCTACATTATAATTTCCAAGCCGTGCACTAACCACAGAAGGACGCTCCGAAATATATTTGATCGTATCAAACAATTATGTACAATTGAATTTATCTCATTCCATTAGCTTATATATTATTTATGTTACCAACTTCATTGTACCGATAGAAACTAAGTAAATTCATAGAAGGCAACTAGAAGGAGTGGCAGCAAAAATGAGCGCTTTCTAATAAACAAAGATATAAAAGAAGAAGTGTTTAGTTTACTTAATTTGAACACGCAAAAAAATATATATTTTAATACGTATATACGTTTATAGCTATTTTATATATACATTTCGAACTGTATATGTTCTTGACTTATATTCCCACTTGACTGGTCTGATCCTTTCTAGCTGTGCAAATGCTATGCGCAACCTTAATACTAGGGTCTGCTAGATCTGAAGACAATATACCGTGTTGAAGACAATACAGATATATAACATGTAATAAATTTCTGCAAGTAAAGTGGTCCCTCGATATTTTTACTTTTGGACTCTCTAAACTCTAAATGTCACAATTTCGTTTACTCCCATAACCGTTCAGATAGAAATGACCTTCATCATAGAAGACGATGTGACGAAAGAAGACGCTAGCAAGCACATTGCACTTCCAGTATTTCGATAATAAATTTTTATAAAAGAACAAAACATACACACTGCCGTGTTTATTGCTGGGCAGTCTTCTAACCCTTGCTTCGCGAAAAACATCGTAGGAGAGGGATGAAATGCAAGTTTCTTACGCGTTTATATATATATGTATATATATGTATATATCAAATAGAGTCTACTGACTGATTTTTAAAGAAAGCTTGTACTTGAACATGGGAAGCAAGCTAACTCGTATTGACTGAGCCGTCTAGAAACGATCAGTTGGAACAAATGCAAGCACCAGATACTTCCGATGCTATCATGGAGAGCGATTTCTCTGTATTAATCGTAAATTTAATGGTTCAAATTCAATGATTTCATGTGTTACCTATATCTTATGGCATTGTATACAATGAAGCATTGGCTAATCCCATTAATTATTCAGTATGGAGCAGGCCCAACGGAAGCTAGGGTCAGCGAAACGATTGGCCGCACGGAGTAAAGGATTCAGCCTATTAGGATTTTGAAGAAGGATAAAAATTTCAAACAACAATTGAGTGTAGAAAGGTGTCCAGAACTAGCAAGTCGAGCGATTGTCACGAATAATGCCTGAATATTCCTTAGTTGGAATGTTACGCCAGTATGATACGTCATAAAAGTGGCTTAGATTAAAAACATAAAATTTATTCCACATATTGGCTACCAAATTATTTGAGCTTGAAGAGTCCAATCTGAAGTCAACGTTTCCCATCAAGGCAATACTGACTAAATACAGAATCATGAATATTTAGTTTTTCAAATTGAATACTGTCAATAGGGTTTACTGGAAAGTAAAGTATAAAACTAGTCAATACCTTTAATTTCGCCTAGAATTCGTACTGGCCCTTCTTTGCATGAATCTCCCATGCTTTTCTATGAAACTCACTTGCATGGATCCATTCACTGATTAAAACAACAACTGAGATCTGCAGCTAAAGCTACTTCGATAAAAATACGACAGGTAGAGAGCGATCACTGTGACAAAGGCTTGACAACGTGGGGTTCGACTGGATGCCGCACATGTCAGCTGTATATAATTGAAAATGGCACAGATCTCTTGAGGGGCGACGGGCGACAAACGGCTTGTCTGCATAGATCTTCAGGAGATCAGAAGGTGTTTTCCCTATTGCCGTCCCGCTAATTCTCATTCAGATGATGTTCTTATCAGCCTTTTTTTGAGACTTTCAATATTTAATTAGAATTAATAAATAAGCTTGCTTTCCCGTAAAATAATTACCCTGTTCCTATTTATTATACACACGCTATCAGAGCGTTCTAATCCACTCCGCTTACTAGACAACGTTAGCTATTATATTAACCTTAAAAACGAACGTTTTGCATCAATGAACATTTGGTAAAATGTCATTGAAAGCTGACTTCTGTATTGAAAAATAATCTGTCCTTATCATAGAATAAGGTAGTTTATGTTGTATATAGTTTCTCTTATGTTCTATCTTTGTGCTTCATTGCTCTGTTTTTTTTTTCGATCATTGTACTTTTGTCACTGGAATTCCGATATTCCGGTGACAAATTAAGTTATAGTACAGCCCAGCTGTTTCGTGCATGAGTTACGCTTCGGATGAAGTACCAAATAACTTTCCAAATGTTCAAAATGGAATGGTCCTAGCGGAAGACATAATGGGAACGCTTGAACTCTAAATCAGAAAAGCATTTTACCATGATTCCTATCTGGTCATTGGGTGCTGCATTCACTAACTTAAACCATTACTTAATAATCGGATAATAATTGTGTTAGCGTAAACGTATCCACTCGATCGTATGTATCATTCAGATATGAAACAGTTACTATTTACATTTACCTAAAATGAGTAATACCAAGCGTTCCTCTATAAATCCGACTTTTAGGTTTATATCGATACGATAATTACTGACGGAATTGAAGTTACATAATGTAATTAATTTGAATGAAGTTACATAATTTTTTTTTTTTTTTTTTTTATATATATATAACATCTAGTAGGTGTTTATACAGCTAAAGTAAATATAATTAGTTGGTAGCGCCCCACGTGACGTCGTGGCAATTGCCCACACTTGTGGAGCTGTAGTGAGCCGTAATTATAAATGTCTGAGTAAATATCAATGACCTATATAAAGATCGAATGTCTTTTCCGCAGCAAATGGCTGCATAAATATGTCCGTTAAATTTAAAAATCTTGTGTGTCTTCAAAGGTAGGTTCTGCGCGCGCGAAATTTGCAATTGATATTATCTTAGACTCAGCTAGAAGAGTCGGTCGGTAGTGCTGGTTTAAGAGAAACGCGGGCGGTTCCTGATTTTGAGTTTTTAGATTTTTGCTTCCAGAAGAGGACGCCGAGGACAACCATCATGAGGCTTGCCAGAACTAAACCTGCGGTCACACCCCAAGTGTTTCTCTAAAATAACAAAGTTAAGCAAAGTATTTGTACTTACTACCTGACTTGTTTAGCGTTAACATTTTTGAGATATTTTCATATGGTGAGAAAAGATTAAGTTTTCCATGTGTAAAATACATATTACTGTATCAATATTTTTCATACGAAATCAGAACAGGTCTAAGTTGAAAAATATGTTACTTATCGCAACAGATATTCTTAACTGGTTTTAGAGAGAGTTAAGTAATTTTTTAGCATTCTGTATATGCGCATAGAACAAAAGGTTTTGAAAATTTAAATAAGCCTAGCAAGATAAGATTACCTTTTAGGGAGATACTTTTATTTTAAAAACTCGCAAACAAATTTAATTACTTCATATACATCCTTTTGATCTGTAACCTTAGATTTACCACAAATGGCCTGTGCATAATGTATGCTGGATGGTAGATGTGTAACAAATTAAAATAGCACGATGCATGAAACAGATGTTAGATAGGCAGATTAGATGACTATAGTCAGTCAACTAATGTTTCTTCTCCGCCCCCCCTGTAGCTACTATGAGCATAGATTTTTACTTATCTATTAATGGAGTTCGTAAGAAAGAACGATAGGTAAAATAAACATAGCTATATAAAATAACACTGACTAAAAGCAGCTTATTATTCTATTTTCATATGATCAGATCGGCTTACCGCAGACGCCACTGCTGCGTCACGTCGTTCGTGTAGCTTTGCGCTCATCGCGTCCAAATTATCCTGCAGTCTCGGGATGTAATCCGACCAGAATATACGTTGTGACTCCTGATACGGACTTTTTTCCTCAAAATTGTCATTTGATATCTGATCGCAGAATGACACGGCAGTAGTAAAGCAGCAGCCTTTAAGCTAGTGATACTTACAAAATAGGACTTCGCAGCTAATTGGTTCAATCGTGAACGTCGAAGAGGGTGCGCCTTTTCATCTAGTCTACATGTAGATTAACCGAACTCAAGGTTTAGGTGTAAATTTAGAAAGTATGCGTGGTTCATTCCTAAATTGATTCCATCATCTGCACTCATTACTATGCCTCGAGCCATATATTGTAAGACCAGCGAGCGCAAGACAAAGCTGCAGATCAATCGGGCCTATTTGTAAAACCTAATATCGATATGTGCTCTATACTGGTTCGTCGAAAGCTTGATTCTGTCAAATAAAGTGGCTGATTTTCCAACTGTGATTTTACGTAACCCCACAGAGTTGCATCGCATGGCACCTACGATTTTTTGCGATAAAATCGATTCAGTGGTCTTCAGGAAAGGCCATTGCAACAATTCTCGCTCAGCCAACATTTGCTCACACTGGTGTCGCTGGCCTCGAGAACAAAGTAATTCGAATCGGTTAACATCGCAGCGCTAAGAAATGGCAGTTTTTTTACGCTCACTGTGGTACATGTTTTCTATAGTATTCTTAAGGCAACTTCCTACAATTTAACTTACGCGTACCAAGACGCTCAACGTTTCGAATAGAACTAACTGATTTCAGCAGAAAACCAAGTACTTCAGGTACGGGGGAGCGTGGAGTGTAGGTGAGCATTAAAGACTGCCACTTCAACTGCTTGTTACGGAATAGTTATAACTATCACATCGAAATTAAATTTTAGATTCAAAGTTTCCGCCAGAACTGTACGTACATTTATTTAATATGTCAGTAAACTAAACAGTATGAGAACGCATGCCTGGATGGCATATGACATGACATACTTAGATACGCCGTACTAATGTTTTAAGGAAAATAACGATATGCGTCTCTCTATGTTCTGGGTTTTACGTCCGGTTCTCGCCATTAAATAGTCCATCAAACAAGCGGCTGGCTGCCGGTACGAAGCGAAGTGAGTCCCTAAGATTAACATGCAAATACGCTACCCTTCAAGCTATTACGGGGACGCAACGATGTCCACTTGCGCGAATAGCAGGTACATACCTTAGTAATAAAAGCGAAGGTAGATAGCTTCGGATTATATTCGGTTAGAAAGAACGGTGAGCGAGTGGAAGTCGACAAGCTTTGCAGGTATACAGCCCATTTTCTGCGTATTTTCTGATCTTTATTTTGTGCTTTTGCGGTTCCTTCGACACCCACCAATTGAAGTAGGTCGTCCATATAGATCGCGGATTGTTGGTTTCTTAAACTTTGTCCACTAAAAAGTTGTAGATTTTGCCTACAAATACATGCAGCTCAAGTATTACTCTCTGATTAGACCATTTAGTCCTCAATTCTATCTTTCTGTTCTTTGAAGTGAGCAGTCAAGTGAGATCGCTACAATTAAATATGTTTGTAAATGAACGTTTTTGTCACTTTCGTACAATCGTATTTAAGGCGTTTATACACAATATATTTATCTAAGTGTTTTACCTAGACGAAATGGAAATTGTCGCTTCCTTCATGAAAGACTGTGACGCAATCTCAGTGCACGGCAACCCGACAAAATGAACTATGATGAGAACATACACAATTGCAAGACTGCACATTTCTGGCAACGGTAAGGATTTGTTTCGAAAACATCAATGCCAAAAGTCACTGTGATGTTTTTACCGTATCTAAATCAAGGACGCCCACACAGCCTAAACTATGAATATATAGAGATAAATATGTTGGAACTTTCCTTACCGTAAGGCCGAACGACTCTGGTCAGAAGATTTATTACAATAAAGTAGATTTTACTTTATTGTACGAAAAGAAAGAGAAATCTATTCACAAACCTGAATGACGGTAGCTGAGGATTATTACTTCGTACGTAGATGCTTACGCCAGTACTCGACTCATTACCAGAATGCCACCGTCTAATTTTGGCTTCAGCGTGAAGATGAGCCAGACTGACGACTGGTGTGAAGCTCAGGTAATCCGTAAGCACTGAACACATTATGTCTGCAAATGACGTTTGATTTTCCGACACCTACATGGTCGCACAATATCATTGCGATACATGCTTTATCATATATATGCGAGCATATAATCCTATAGTGATATTAGTTATTGGCCAACATCGAACATTATGTACGGCGATAGATTAGGCGATGAGCAAACGCTCGCTGCCTTCGTTTAGTGTTATTGATGGCAGACCCAAGCGGCATCAAGGATGAATCCTTCTTTCCTTACCACCTCGTTTCATTCGCAGCTCCATATCATTACTGATGTTAAAAGCACGATTGTTCATATGGCTAGACTAGGTATGGAAGCAACAGGTTTCGTCATCTGACTTATGCACAAACGTGCGAAAGGTCTTCGCTCCTTAAAAACAGAGAAACTCAAGAGTATAGTATATGAATCAGCTCAGAACTTTACTAAGAAAAAAACGCCAGGAAAGATCTACGTAGTCTCGTTATAGATGGTGTTGCCCACCAACGACAAGTTGCTTAGGATCAAACATAACTTGTACATAATGGTCAGATAAAATCACAAAATACGACATATTATCTATCAGTTAAAGATAATAAAGCATAATGTTTATGCTCAGCGTGAAGATAATAATTATGTTTTTGAGTCGTAACAGAGGTGAAATTTATTTCACAGTAGTTAGATTAAATACACGAAAGGACGTGCGGAATCACCGAACGAATTATATAATTACAAAAAGGCTTCTCTTTATCTATTGACATATCCAGTGATATGCATGGCACTGAAAAGTTCTATTTGGAAGGAAGTCAAATCTGACGGACTCCATCGAAGTCGCATTCGTAACTGAGGCCTTTTTACGACTGTGTTTACAGCCGCTTCGCAGACGACAATAATTAATTACATAGAAGCTTGTTGTCAAAAGCCAAGCTGTGCTCATCTCTACTTTCAGATAACTTCGATGGGTGCTCCCGGAAAAATTATTATCGTGATCTTACGCTAGAGTTTCGTGCCTCAGTAAAATATCAGTAACTCATAATATAGTGTTACGTTATTAATAAGCTCGTAACGATATCATTTACCTGATGGTCCGTGTAGTTTCGGAAATACATTAACTGAACTGAAGTAGTGACTGTTTTCAGAGTGTCAACATATTCCTGATACGGCGCAAGGTACATTTCGATACGCTTGTTGAGCAATATATTTTCCTAGAAAATGTGGAACTTTTCTAAGCTCATGTTTATAGACCGGTAAACTGGTTTCGGAAATTATACAGAATTCGAAAATTTCATAAACGTTTTAATATACCTAAACAAAAAATAGCCGGAGAAACATTCACTGCTATTCAATATCAGTAATTAATTAAGTATTGGTTTAGTTCTAACAATTGAAAGCGTTCGAGAAAAGAACATCAATAAAAAGAAAACAAACTCAGTAGTAGCAAGTACCTGTGATCGAAGTAAAGTACTGGAGGTTCCCTCAACGGTCGCATTGGTATTCATTATACTGGAAACCGTTGGCTCAAAGGCACTATCGTAAGGTCCTGACGAGAAGGAACTATAGCGAAAACTGCCAGCATCTTCCGCATAGCCATACACAATTGCACTGATGTTGTCAAAGGTCGCCGTCCTAATGAGAGGTGGACCGACTCTTTACGACTCGAACTTTTTCAAATAGACAGATTTCTAATATAGGCTAAAGACCATCCTCCAATGCTTCAGTAAGAGCTCAAAACTATGGACTTCACATTTGTGGACAAACAGACAAAACATATGATTAGATTTTATTTGTACAATTTATAAGTAAATTATCGAAATTTCCTTGTTAATAGAGGTGAGAACAAAAACACTATGTTTGAGCGGGCTTACCGAGCAAGTTTTTCGGGCCAGTCGCTGAGATACGATTTCTGATTATCGTCCGTATGATTTTTGTCAGCCACAGGTCCAAAGATAAATCGAGGATGGGCACCTTTTTCCAAGAGGGTCTCTACTTTCAGATTCTGCGAATTTGTTAGTAATCGGAGTCGTGAATCTCTTATCTGCGTAAGCGGTAATTCCGTTTATCATGACTACTGTGCAATATCCATTTCAAGTTAACTGATTAAAATCAAATTAGAACTCTCTTCAGTTGATCAAGGCAGGCTATTTATGCTGGGATTAAAGCATCAAAATACATTTTGGATGATGGGAAATGTCAGCGCAAGACTAACACTTTACTGTTTCCAAATGTTAAACAAACGCCAAACGGACTGGCGGAATATTTCAAATTGTAAAGAGCTAGTGTGTTGTATTTATAATACACGCATCACTGAGAAGCTCGTCAGGATTCGAGAGTTAGTTAGCTTGCGCGGTACTAGCACAGTCAGTGTTCGAACTTCGGCTACAATTCACGCTTGATACAAATGTATGCTTTTTAAAAAACATCAAGCATTTTCAAGTCTACTCTTGAGAGCAGGCTTGTAGCACTGGGCTTAAGTCAACGACCGAGACAACATCTGAAAAAATCATAGCGTCTAGAAAAATGCTTCCATCGCTCTAGTCCGGGTGTTCTAGGGGACCAGCTACTTACTATGGCAATACTATAGTGTATTTCACGGTATCGTACAGGAGTGATCGCTTAGGGGAACTACCGCAAGACATTGAACAGCTAAAATTGTTACCGAGTGGTAACAGCTCAGAAACTCTGAACTTCATGCGTAAATTTATAGATGATCTCAGCTAAAGATTACAGATGATTCTGTCCCAAGTTGATATATGAAACATAATTATACCCTTATTTAAAGTATTTATCGCTAACTACTAATTTCTAATTTGTCTCATCTGCTCGAGTATTGACGTACGTAATTAGGTATTCTCTTAAGTACTGCCTGTCATGTACAGATACCGACATTTCAACTAATAGAACAACGGTTCGGTATTTGATAGGCTAATTATAGAACGAGGACGAAAAATAAACACGAGATGGACATTTGGCTAATTCTAGCAATCGGACTCGTTTTAACAGAATTGATTAATGGGTAGCCATTGTGTAGGTCCGCTAGTACAATATGTTAGTATATGAATGCCTTAAGTCTAGGCAATAGAAATCGACATTGTTAGCCTAAAGAAATAAGGCTCAAATAGATTAACACCTAAATAATGACTTCTATTGAATAGTCACATTGATACGTAATCTAAAATGCTTACCCGTAGACATTCTATAAATTTCCTGCTGCTGGATGATGTACAGCCTACTTCGTATCCGAAATCAGCGGCGCGTTTCTTCGCGAAGTGTACATTTGCATCTGGACCAAGAGCGCTTCCTCCAGAGATAACAGCTGTCTTTAACCGTAAATGCAGAGAGAGTTCTTATGCCATTCACTATAGGGTCCGGTAATCTACTAGATACTAGGACAGCTTTGAGGTCAGGATGACTTTAAATGTAAAAGTATACTTTTAATAGTGAACAAACACTTATATCTTGTTACAAGGAGAAGGGTAATTCATAAAAGTCATGAAGGTTGTATAATCTTGAGCTCATCTTTTCCTTTAAAAAAGCTGTTAAAATCTTATATCGTTTTAGACATATTTAAATGAGAGTTCGATAACACGGTCATAAAGGAAGACAATATTCAAGAATAACTGTAATAACATTCTTGCAAAAAAAATATTTAGAACAATATAAGGGATAAATTATTTGTACTGTCTGGTATTGTCTATGACCTCCTGTTGTTTTTCCATTTAATGACGATTTTTACACAACACACCCTACCAAAATTTAAACAACTCTTCCATAGATCTCCTCTATCAAAGACCAACTCACACAGGTTTTGCCAATAACGGTAAGTACTAATTTCATTTTAACTAGCAAAATAACAAATAGCAAATTAATAATTTTCATAAACTACAACCACGTGAAGCGAATGCTTAATTTTTCTAAAAAAAAAAAACAAAAACAATGTTTATATTATTGGTCTTGAGCACGATCATTTATCGGAATATGGGTTTACTTACCTTAATGAAGCTATTGAGGCCGTTGATAATATGAATGGAAGCTGAAATTCCTCCCGAACCAAAGCCCAATACAATGATGCGATTCGCGTCAGCCTACAACCAGTCGTAAAAAAAAATTACGAATTATGAGTAAACATTTGAAGCGTTAACATATCATCCTATCAGAGATATTCTGGCTAATGTCCTAAAAAAGCTTTTTCATATTCAGTTTTTACCCAAAATAACAGAAAATCACGTCGTACCTTTGCTACATGTCTGAGTATTTCAATAAGTAAAAGTAAAAATAAGCTCAAGATATCACGTATAGCAATTAAGTATTCTTTTTTTTGTCAGAGTTGAACAGTTATTGTGTCAAACAGCAGTGAGTGATTTGGATGGAAGCCAAATTCAAAGATGCCTTTAATGTGCTTGCTGAGTTTTTAAGGAACTGTAAGGCCATATGTTGATCCCAGAGGCCCAGATTGGCCGGTCCTTCATCGTCCTCAGTTGTGAGGTAGCCTAGAGCTCCAAGGCGGGAGTGTACGACAGCCAGTATACCGATACCCGAATCTTCTACCAGAAAACTGCGTTCCGGTTGTATTTTGTGAGCCACACTCTGCTTGAAGTCGAACCCTTCAATCAGAATTGCCATTGCAGCGTTGCCATCACCGAAAGTCTGAAAATATTGAGTATAAATTACATCTATTAGCTATTTTTTAGATATACAATAGATATATAATATTACAGTATTCATGAGAGTAGGAAACATTGTTTTGTCTTTATTACAGATGGTGCATATTGGATTCGAGCAGGTTTCGCTAGCTCATCCAATTATTTCTGGTGCGAACAACTGGTTTTAACAAACGTTTTAAAAAAGAGAATCTATCAAACTATATTGACAGGTGAAGTTTTGAATCGATGTGTAAGGTATACTAACTAGTGGGTTTTTCTTGGGCATTAACGTCAACTTCAATTTTACTCTATATTGATATATTACGATAATTTAATCACAATAACCACAATGAACCTGTGCACACGAACGTCTGAAAATCCCATTCGAGAAATATCCTCAAAATAGGCCTGACTACGGAGTCATACGTTACAACTTACTATATTCGAGGGGTCATACAACCTAATTCGAGTATAGAGTCATACCTTGTTCGTAATGTAGAGATCTACACGCAGACAATCTTCAGAACTAGTTGTTAGGTCCGTCATGTTCGTAAAAGGATCAATTTGTGCGCATGCCTTCGGCATAGTCCTAGGTGTATGGTAGTACTTTTTGATTTCATCGATGCTTAAGTTCCATGAAAATAGCTCTTCGATTGGTGCTGGCCTCGTGAAACGGAAACGTCCTACAGGCTGGCGGGCGTATGGAATACCGTAGAATGCATAGAATCCAATGTTGTTTTCCGCTGACTTGAGTTCACTACTGTAGGAAACTTCATTGAGAATGATTGTCTTATGCTGACTAAATGAGTCGTTAATCAAGCCTAAGCTTATGATTAGCATCCAAACAAGTGAAGTCTGGGCTGCCATACTGTCGGCCCGCTGCGGTTGGGAGGACAAATCTGTAAATAAAAAAGGGAGCCGAAGTATGTTATTGATAAGTGTAACCCATCCTGCGCCCCGAAGTAAGTATCTATGTTGATGCCGTAGGAGAGCAGCAGTTACCTACAAAGCCTACGAATGATGAACGTAAAGGTGAATTAATGTAAGTTAAACAATTAATATACATATTATCCTACGGACAGTAATATAAAGCATTTCTTATAGTGTAAATTAAACCTGAATAATTTGTCTGAAAACTACAAAAGGCATCTGGAGCTCCGAAGAAAGAAAACAGTTTCTTCCTTAATAAATTAGTCCTAAAAGGTGCAGCCTTGAATATTCTTGAGTGCCAAAAAACAAACAGTCCTATTACATCAGACAGCGCAGTAGCAGCTCTGTGTATACTATAGTTTGTATCTATAAATGCATCCACGTACATAAAACTAATGTTCATCTGAGGTTAGGAAAAATTTATCCGAAATCCAGGGCTATTGCAGTCTTTTAACGGACGAAACAGTGAAGGACCACCGCGCTAGCTAATCAATCACACGTCTGAGCTCTCCAGAGGCCACAGCTCGGCACCTTGGCCTTGGGTGTTACTGTTGAGAAGTAGCCTTGTCACCTTTACTTGAAGAGAATAGGACACCGTCGCTCGTGGGCACTGGCAATACCTTTCAAGTCGACTATGTTAATAATCGACGCCGCAAAGTGCCGGAGAAGGGCGAGCGCGACCGAAACGCGGAGCGGCGCGTTCATGTCGCGTTGACCGGGAGAGCTGATAACGATCGTCGATATAGTGCGGCTCTCTTGTTGGAAGCGACGCACCCAAAGACGGGCGCGGACCTGACGCAGGCATTCTTGTCTTACGCAAGTGTTTGTCATCGGTAACCATTGGATATTCGCGGAAAATGGAGGTGGATTTTTGGTTCTTCTAGTTCATTATTGCTTTGGAAGCCAATCCGTTCGATTCCCAATGTTACCCCCCAAACACTGGAAAATTCATTGTTTTTTTTCTTTTTGTCGTAGTTGCTTGTTGATTAGTTCTGAACTGTGTTAGAAACAATCAAATTTTTGACGATTTTTTCTAACACGTAGGCGTTCTCTAGATATTTTGCTGGTGCAGACTATTGAACTCGTATTGTAGAGCTAGTATCTTGTTTCGGTGATCTGAACCCTTTCGTTAACGTTAAACGTTGGTAATTAGATTAATCGGCTTCTGGGATCCTGATTTCGGTTCTGTAGCAGGGCTACTGTACAATATCCAGTATGAGTGTATAGCGTTACTTCAATTTCTTTAAATTATACCTTGGAGGATGCCTTTGGTGCCCGCAATTAACACACAAGCTTTTTTCGAGCCTTATAAATTGGTCAAAATTCATAGACACTGCCGCTATACCTTCGATTAATCAGTTAGCCCCTAGAGAGCAAGTTACAGCCAAGGGCGACGTCGAGATAGATCATCTTTGACTTACACTCTAAAGGTGTTGCCAGCCTTTCGATCATTAGCATTGCTATTTTTGTGAATATTAGGCATCATTTATACTAAGGTCTGAAAGGAACCATAAAACAGAAGCAAATCAGATTTAAGTTAGAGTGGGATGATAGCTGTTTTAAGCATCAAAGATCTAATGCAGTACTTTCTCACCGCTATGCCAGTCTATTTACACGAGCATGGCCTGCACGTGCAACCAGTTGTTTGTTGCCGATCACTATATATATATATATATATATTGGGTTTTACAGGTAGCTAAACCTAGTAACCAACGAGAGTTATAATAATCATTTAGCAATGATTTTATTCTGACTTCGTCGTAGTTATACATGCGTACTCAAGAGCTTGGAGGTTAGCTTGCCTTTAGTCGAGTTCACCTTTTAAATTACTGAACATATTCATAAATGCCAAGTAATGTGACTTTATAAAGAGTCATGTTTATCAAGAAAGACATGATAAAGAATTATAAATCAATCTCTTTATAAAGAAAAGAAGAAGATGCTTGAAGATTCGATTAGTGTTATATATGAATTGAGCTGCAGCCAACCTTTCAACTTAATGTTAACTTTGTGCGATTGCAAATTCGCAAAAATAAGCTGTCTAAGTTTGTACGACTGCTCTTCTGCAGAAGGTACCTGCCCAGCAGATATCACCATCGAACTACGAATTTGTTATTTGTCTTCCACTATGAGTCCACGTGTTTCGGGCAGATGCAGCAGAATGGAACACTTACGGGCTATGGTAGAGTAGCACGCTTGGAAAAGCCCGCAGTTTCTGCTATCTTTAACCATACGTCCCATACGTGTATATGTTAGCAAGCTGATCTCTTCACTGCGTTTATTTATAGGTTAAAATAAGTCAATATTATAATACATATCTCCACTGCGCCAGGTCGGAGTCATCGCCGTCTCACCTCACGGAAGTAAAAGCACTAGATTAAGTCTAAGCCGCAACGAATGCGAAGTCTCTTATTTGCACTTTGCTGCCCGTTTCCCTCAGGTTCAAGTGACTCCTCTAGACGTGTGGCGCATATCTTTTTATCGTTTGCAATATATCATTCCAGAGCTCTACTGTTCGCACACAATAGCCGTACGTCGCTTCTGCGGGTTCCAGGGGTGAACTTCTCTTCAGTTTTTAAAGTACATAAAGACGATGCCACTGACGAAGAACACATATAGAGTTCTTACAGAAGTAACAGAACAATACTTAACCAAGTAAGTGGTTCTTTTAGAACCGTGTTTTTAATATAAATCAACAGTACATACATGAAGATATGAGCGCATATGCTATAAACTGCTCAGCTGCAATAGTAAGAGCTCCTGCACAAGTAGTCCTGTCTGACACAAAGCTCAGTCCTTGAATTCGCTTTTACCTCAGAGAATTCGGATTCAGTTATGAGGAAACATATTTTTAGGGCAACCGCGGGTATCCTGGCGAGCCGTTTCGGATCAGTTCTTACAACTAAACTTCTATCGACAGTGCGGTGTTCTAACTTTAGGCCGTCTGTGGCTGATTAGCATTAACACTAACAACTAGCGTCGGCTCATCTACGCAGCATGCCGTTGTAACGACGGTCGCATCAGTGCGTACTTCCTATTCAATGTTAACGACGTTATTCCATTGGGGCTCAATACAGTACTGCTACCTACGAGTTATTAAGCTTGCCGTTTACCACACGCTGGCTGGTGCTAATGATATATTCCCTAGTGTTATACTTTGCTTATAATAAGCTTTTTGAACATTAATCACATGTCAAATACTTAAGCTACGATCAAATAGAGCTCTGCACAAGTTCTCTTCATTCTACTACTAAATTTGTAAGTAAATTTCGAAATCTGAGTATTTTTAACGTATTAAAACTTTTTTAAGAAGTTTTAATACGTTAATAAGTGTGTTACGCTTTTTTTAAGTTGCTTGTTTTCTAGCTTCCAATAAAGCGTAAGCTACACTATATGTGTAAGCTACTATTTCAATATCAATCGGATTAACCATATGAAAAGCTACCAAATTCAGCCATAGTGGAAGTTTTAGATTCCAAGATCAGGGACAGGTGTTATATGCGGACATACTGTGGATAGGAGTGTTTGTTGACAAAATTAAGCACTCTAATTACCAGGCTAAATTTTAGGGCATATGTCTATAAAGATTTGAAAAGGCGTGTGCCGCTATCGAAAAACGTAGCATCTAAACTAATTACACTGGCTGATAAGCCTTGAGGTTTTTCCTTAACCCTTTCTAACCTGATAATAAATGTAAACCTTTATAGGAGTAATTATTCAGCATATGTACGTATATGTGTGCATAAACACAGACACGTGCCTTTTCTGTATTTTTTGTGTACACGACCATATCTACTGTTAGCTTCTTTTTGGCTTTATTCTGTCATCGCGTTTTTGTTCTACACGCTTGTCTAGTACATTATTTTCCCTTTTCACCTGCATTTCACTTTTCTCCAGCACTTTATTCAATCACTTCGAATCAGCTCTTCATTTAATCCTTCCCTCTATTTCACAATTAGGAATATTTCATAATCCAAGGAGAAAAGGGGTATTTGTAAGTGGAAGTGATGCGCTAGAAGTGGGTAGTTAGAGCCAAACTGAAACTGGCCCAGTTAGTGAAACAGATTACGGTGACTGAAGTAACTATTTCCGCTTAAGCTAAACTGAAGGAGAAGATTTAGTCATTTATAGGTTTACGCTCTCTACCAGAAAAAAGAAATGCAACTCAGATCAAAACCAAACCTTGCGAATGTTTCCTGGGTTGCCTTTGAGGTTTTCATCAAAGACGCAGTCATTGAGACACCGTAGGTCCAAAACATGTGATGAGGGACTAAGCGTTTCGTTGACCACAGGATGGTACAACATAGACCGAGAGCATGTGTTGAATTCAAGTTGTCGGAGATGTTACTTTCAGCCGGCAGGTAAAAATTGTGGTAACTTCGATTCGTGAGAGAGAACAACTTTATCGTATGGTTCATTCTACTGTGGACGGCGGCCTCAAGTCTCCCATAATCATAAGTACTGTTACTGAGTGACGAGTATTACGACACTCAAGTTTAATCAGAAATAGTGAAGGGCGAGAAAACTGGGAAGCACAGAAAGGGTCTGGTGGATTGTCGGATCAATACTGCTTCGAGTCTACGAACCAAACTGACAAGGGCCCAAAACCCTCACAACACTTCCTCTGCGCACCTTACTAGAGACCTTAGCTGTTAAACTCCATACGGTCGATAGCTACTCGATGGGCATGGTTTTTACAAAAATTGAAGGTCGACACAGCTATTCTTCTTCCGTGAGGTGAAGGGCCATACTATTAATAGATTGGCCCAGCCTAAATGGTGCGGTGTGCCATCTGTGAACTGCGGGCGTGAGGTCCTGTTGCAGAACAGGAGAGGAAGTACTATTCTACGGAAAAAACGTTTGCGGATGGAAAAATGTGTATGAGAGCTAATTAAAGAAGGTGTGTCCGGTGAAACGCTGAGCTAACGAGTGAGTCAAAGACGCTCTATGAAATAACCTGGTTCTAAAATAAACCTCAGATATTAGGTTAGAGCATAGGTAGTAAGGACGATTTTTTAACATAGCAGCAAAGTTGGCGCTTTACTCAAATGTTAGCAAAAAATTCATATGTATTTGCTGTCATTCTTTGCGACCCTTTGCCGTATTTCAACTGATTAATTTATCTAAGTTGGACGTATAATTGTGCTTACTGCGCACAATTTTACGTCCAATTTAGAGACCAATCCAAGAGAGACGCTCTTACAGATATAAACAAACAGTAAAAAAGTGAAAAAGGAAGACGAAGATCGGAAGATAAACGCACAGACCGCAAATATCGCGCGTTCCATGAATATATCCATGGAAAGGATGTGACTTTTAAGATTCGAAGCTCGTTAGAATCATCCATTTGCTACCAGCGATTGATAAGTTCCCGTTTTTATATGTTAGAGCTTTGTTTATTAGGCCAAAGCCAATACGAAATACGGTTGCGTAGTGGAGGAAGAACTTAGCATTACGGTATGTATTTCTATCTATTTGTGAGATTAACAGTTCTATTCCCTTAGGTGACTCAGGATAGATATTTGCCGGCTGTTGTCACTCCTGCAGAGGGCGCTTAGCCTGCCGTTATAGCCGTTGGGCCATTTATCAGCGTAAAGCACAGAGGTGTGTTAAATGGTGAGACCGAATCGACGCCTTGAGGTCTAACGATAAGCGAATGCGTTTGATCCGCTGCAAACGCAAACATCGTAGTTCACCTAAAGCTATGACTTTACGACCAAGGGTCACGCCCACAAAGACATCAAACAATCTACCACAAAATACCCATTAGGCAGGGCAGCATTTACTTATACGCGGAGTATGTACGTATATAGATCCGCAAATCGTCATGAATAATGTTTGACTAAGTGCTAGACCCAGCTTCAATGGACACACATCGTAACACCTCTATCTAAATAAATGCCAACATTAGTAGCCTGAAATTCTGCCAGTATCCGCAAAACTATGGGTAGAACATCACATTTCTATAGCAGGTCAAAACGATCTAGTCTTGAATGCATCCTTGCGTAGTCACAGATGGGAACCTTTCTAGCACAGTGTTGCCTTACCTTATTCGTTATCTGCAATATTATAGATCCCGCTCGAAGGAAACTACACCACTTGTATAGATGTAGAAAGCTAGTTAATATTGTAATGCGTTAGGCTCCTGCTAACGACTGGAAATTCTTATTTCTACATTGGAATGGGGATAGGCTGTTTCAAAGATTCGGAAGATGGCAGCCCAACGTTATGATGGTATAGTTTTCATCATGTCCCGAAACCGTATGAGAGACTAATTAGTTTGATGCTTTTGATCGCACTATAAATATTGTTTTCACCATTGAAAAAAATCTTTATTAATAGCTTCATCGACGAAGTACTAGTATGTCGTTTTGTGCTGATTTGATACTGATAGACACGATAGCTATTAATATTATCTAGCAAAATAGACGCATACGCTCTCATGTTGTCGGCATAATCGACGGGAAGTAGACCCAACGCTAATGAAGATATAACCGGTGGGACGACTATTTTAAGCTGTCGTCAATGGCATACACATGGATCCAATGCGAGCTGCCTGCGGCTATGAATGGTCCGTTTGGCTTCGTGGAGTCGAGTAAAAGATTTTTTGTTCTATTGCTTCGGCAAACGTCGTTTTTACCTGCTTAGTCTAGTACTACACTTTTGCATCTAAGCATCTGCAATTCTAAGCATTATATATATAGAGAAAGAGAGAGCGAGAGAGAGATACCATGCTTAAACCCAATATATTGAGAGGCTGAGAACTGATTCCAACGGAGGACTGCTGCGGATAGAATGCTAAATTCTTATGTTGCTAGCATGTTTCTCTAATCCAGTAGCTTAGTGGAACTGATTGAGACCACACTGGGCGCTTCATTGTGAATAAGCCTCGCCTCAATTCAGCGAATGAAGTCAATTGTGTAATCCGTTTGCTTTAGAGTTATTTACTAATTTCTCAGGATTATAATAAACCTGGTTTCGAAAAAAGCAGCCTGTCGTGCCTATTGCATAGTCATTTGATGGGGTTCTGGCAGTAAGCTTCCTTTGGTGGCTAGACTATAAGAAAAGAATAAATTTTACATATTCTATCCCAGCTGCATAAATAATTGCAAACAGGTTGCTATCATAGCTAAGAACAGACGATCTGACTCAACAAACTGGGCCCCATATACCCAAGTGTCTATATTTATTCAGTGTTTTATAGGCAACTAGTGCAAATGGACGGCGTTTCGATTTGTTAATATTTACCTTCGCTTTCATCGGATGCAACAATTTGTTTAATTTCAAGTATACATTAATATTGCTAAATTCGTACTAGGCCAGCGCCTTTTTTCCCCACCCCAGGTTTGACAAAACGAATTTATTGGTTATCGGCTTATTCTGTAACACGAAAAATTATACTGTGTGGTGTAGCTGTGCCATCCATGAAACTATCCGAATATCACTAATGGAACTGAGCCTCATGGCTGAGATGACAAACAGGTATCCTCTTTACGATCGGTCCTTAGCAAAGATCTTTTGTAAAATAAGACGTTTGTCGAACCTGGGGAGTTGTCTGGTGTCGATGTGCATTTCGTTGTCATTAGGTAACAAGTTTGCTTCTTCTTCTTCTTCTCTTGTTGCCGACGATTGATTCGAAATGGGTTGTGCCTGCTATAAAAGCTATTTCCATACATTTGTTTCTCACATGTCCTGTTGCGGGTTACCAACTGTCCTCTCATTGGCCACAATAGGCTTGGCAATGATTACAGGCATAACTTTCGCCAACTAAATCGTTACGCATGGAAACGAACCGGAGGCTTTGTCTTCCCGAAAAAAATAGCATACAGCTTCGTTTAGTGCCATATGAAGAGTATTATATGTCCTAAAGCGTTAAGATGGTGGGTAAAGAGAAACTAGCTATAGGTCAAAAATCTAAATTATCTATTATATCAGTCATTGTCAATTTCGTTTTGCTGAATTTTCTCTAGTGATACTTTCGGTGTAATTTAATATTGTCACAGAATTTGCAATGAAATATTTGGGCTTTTGATTTTTTCCGCTACCTGCTGATCGTCTGTAACCCTTCCTAATCAATTCTATAGGTCTCAGTTAATTAGTACCCATACCTTGAGTTTCGAAAAAATTGCAAAATAGATCGTGAATGAGCTATCATCAAATATCAGAAAAAGCTAGCTCTTTCCTCCATAAGGTGAACATGAACCTTAAAAAAAAGCAAAGTCATTACTGCGAAAAAAAAATATCTATTTTCAGTCATCCTTTTATAATGAACAGCCAAAGATTACTGATGTCTATTTAATGCGATCCGAAATAACAATCACCATCGTAGCCTCATTGTTTTGCACACAAAAAAAATAATTTATTCCGACCAGATAATTTCTCCTCAACAATAGTTACGTATGCCGCCATCTCAGAAAATTTAAATTCTAGATCCATAACGGCTATTCTATTGCCATTTCTACCATTGCCATTCTACTGCCAGGACCTTTTTGGTTAATCCGAGCAGGTTCGATTCTCCCATTTGTTCCTGCAAATTTCTGTTCTCTTTTCATTGACCCGGTTTAAGGAGTTGTCATAGGAAAGCCGTATTAATTTTGCTACCTAAATTGGGTATGAAAAAGTAGATGAGACTTACAAGTGGTATATTATTAAATCATATTAGATACATTCTAAATAATTAACATGATTTATATTGGTGATGCTTCCATGCATATCAACCACGAAAGCGCTTTCCGGTTCGGTTCTAGATTTTAGCAATTTTTGCAAAATCGTACGAATAATTAAAAAAAAAAATGTAAAAAAACAGGAATACGCATCGTACGTTCATAAATCTAGAGAGCTGCTTTTTCATGGCTTTCGTCGAGTACAAATGCCTTTCCGCGCCCTAATTCGAAAACAGAATATGACCAAAGCAACCTGTGTGTCCTACTTAGGATATGGAACACTGTTGTTGCTTCGGTAGTTGCTTATTCTTCGGAAAGAGGCCTACCTGCAAAGTCCATTTCTTGTGTAGGCGAATTATAATTTAGTCAGCAACTGTATTCCGACCAGCTCACGAGGGATGCTATAGTTTTTTTACTTTTTTTTTTTAAAAAGATTAAAGAATGATTATACGATTTTCATTCAATGTCTGTTCTAAATAGAGCTTGGAATTTGTATGTAAACAGTGGTATACATTTTATAAAGGAAGGACAATGTGGGCATTTTCGATCTTCGATTTCACGAGCCCTTTTTGCCAATAATTTTAGTGCAATACGGTTATCTGTACAAGTACATATACGACCCTATTTCACTTTAGTGGTCAATTTGATAACAATGAACTTTTAAGATTAAATCATTCCGTCCGGTATAAATGTGAAGAAGAGTCTGCCACACTAATTATAATAGCCAATTTACTTCGTAAGGACTCAGCGTTTATATAAAAATCGTTAAAGTACGGACGGCGTGCATAAGAGTAGAAGTAATGTACCGAAGTGCATTGTGGCACACATACAAACTCTCTAAAATCGACCAGTCTATCAGACCCACATAGACATAACAGAGATTCATCAGAGAGTTCCACGAATGGTAACTGATAGGTATGTCAAGACTTTTCGGCATACCGAGCAAAAGCAATTTCATAATGGTGACACTTTGATTAGGGCCGTCGCCAAAATATTTGATTGCTTAGAGTTGCTTGTCTCGAATGAATCGGTTGCCTTCTGAATGATTTCCAACGTACTGGTACCTGCGAGTTCCAAATGCTGATCTACGTTGTGAGGACTGTTGTCCTTGATCTCGACCGGTATCATTAGTATTCCTTTCATCGGAGGAACCATCGGTGTCGTCGTTCTGATGAGGTAGGGAGTGTAGACCCCGAGGAATTTGATCTTCAGCTGGCGGACGGTACCGTCCAAGATGGGGCCGTGCTACCTAAAACCGGAGCAAAACATCACATACATATATGATGGATATCGTTAAATTTTTAGATTTTTAGAAATTTAAAGTTGCTAGTCTCAGTAAAAAAGCGCAAATCTCGTTACACTTCCCATATATCATATCGACAAACACGAACGCAGACAGAAGTTCAGTGTAAAAGTTAAAAAGCTGGTGATAGGTTGCTGAAGCAGAACGATATGGAAATAGCTATTTGTAGAACGTGCGTTGTCATTCTATACGACTAATGGTGTCGCAACGCTAACTAGGTACACCCGTACACAGGCTGATCAAAGATGATGACAATGCTCTGCTCATTTTTAATTTCTTGATATGGCTCGTACACATATGTGGTCATTTCGTCGAGTACACCCTAATATGTGCCGATCGCAGTTGAAAACCCCAGCCACCACAGCATGTACCGCTACACGTACGGACTAATTTTGATCCACATGTGACCTAAAGGAGGCATGTTAAATATTACTGCAATCGTAATTATAGAAGACTGCCTGCCGAGTATGTATCAACGAGTGAATGCCTACGTCGGGACTTCGCCTGCAATTCATGCGTACTTTCTATGACGCTCCCTCTTTTATGATTCCCGTGATGCTATGGTTGGTGTTTCGTTTAGCTATGATGCTTCTCATACGATCGGGTCGAATCGACCGGGTGACGATGATCTTTTACGGGCGTACTTCATTTATAGCACTCTCCAGTATTACTCGAATCTTTAACTGATGTTAATTTCAAATACACATTGGCTATGTTTTACGGTAAAGGCTGTTGTCTACGTACTATTTGATATCTTCCAATTTGTCTCGCCTTTTTTCTTTCCTGTATAGTAACCTCGGTACAATCAAGAAACTCGAGAAATGATAATTGAGAGATAACGTAGAGACGATAACGCGCGTAGTCGTCACCGTCGACCTCGCGAGGATGCGTCAGTTGATCCGGACAGCACGGGTTGCCTGCGGAAGATGGTGATTCGCTATATTTTATCTAGGAAATTTGGCTGTGAATGTAGCACATTGGAGTGAAGCGGATTTTCTATTCGATCTTGTCTATTTTATGCATATGCGCCACTTCTTCCTACATATAATAGCTGTGGTCAGAGTCCATAGAATACATAGAACAATATACGATCACTAAAACCAACATTCCTAATAAATCCTTATAGGTGTATATATACACATGCGCCTGTTATTGACTGACGAAGCTAAGCGTTTCATTCTAGGTGTTATATTGTTATATGTTTGATTTGCGTATGTTCCTTTGATAGTCTGTTAGATGACTGATAATCTATGAACGCACCTAGTACGCTGAGATGTCTGATTCTCGGGAACGCCTGCCGAATAGCTTCAATAAGTGATTTGAGGTCGTCGAAGAGGTTTTTGTTAATAGAAAGTGTCTCCAGAAACGGGCCTGAACAAGCTTCTATCACGAATGGGTCACGAAGGCTATTATTGTCCAGAATTAAGTGACGGAGTCTGTAATGAAAATGAACACTGCGGTGTTATATCACTGATCAGCTGTTAGCAGGAATTTAGCTCACTGAAATCTGTAATTTTCATTCCATGATCAACTTTATTATTAATAGTGTTTGCGACGTTCACTCATTAAATCTAATCAACGATTGCTGAGAAAGCCTTGAACTGTTAAAGAGGCGTTTTAAACTGCGTTAAGTGATGTTTGAAACCATCGGCCGTTTGCTAACACGAGCATTCATTTGCTCGTTGATTATGTATGTTGTACACGTTCGACTATTTGGTCGATGAATTAGTTTAGCTTTCAAGTAAAGTAAAGTAAAGTCCCAAGTTTCTAGTGTATTCAAAGACCCAAATAGTATTTAATACAATACGCTAAGGCTTCACCACGTGCCAGGGTGGTACCGCGTACACGAATGCTCTTCCGGTTGTAGTGTGAGCGCTTCGCTCTCTGTCTTATATAATGGTATACATTATATTGAATTTGGTAAGCCAATGTTTATTTTTTCTTTTCCTGTTATCCAGTCAATGGCAGTTTTGTCTCATCTGCCGTGAGTTGGGATTCCTGTACGTGACGCCTTTTCCGTTCCTGCCACGGCAATACGGTGTTTAAAAGCTATTTAGCTTTGACACTCTTTCAAATGCACGTATCTGTTATGTTTACGCCTTAAGCATTTGTGTCATACTTTGTGTTGCATGCTGAGATTTTATTTTACTGAATACTTTCGCACTACACTTTCTATAACAAAAACTTTCTTGGCCTATAAGATTCCAGCTTTTGGGTCAACAGTTCTGGAGAGCTATCATCGCATTTCACAAAACAGGCGATTCCGACATCAACATAGACAACCGCCTTTTTTAAATAATGTGTTAATCGATATACCTGTTTATCTATTTAAAAGGGGCACAAGTAGGGAAGTACCAATTCTGATACTACAGTGTACATAAGTACACATGGACTAACGTTTCGAATTCTTGTGCGTGTAGTGGTTTCGCTGTAAACACTCACGAAATAACACGATCTGAGACATGCGGCGCAGCACTCTTTCTGTTTATATTCTTTCGAATTTCTAATATGGTGTGCGTTACTAAACTCCTTCATGGGAGTTAACCGTTGGCCGCTGCTAAATAATTCTTGGAAACGAGGCTGGCTGATCATGGCGCCCTCCTAGTCTTTCTGCTGAGTCCGAAATAGAATGACATCTATCGCTTCCTTTTAAAATCCACCTACTATCGGGCCCTACCTCTTTCATTGGGTTTTCTCCTTTCGAACGTGGATATATCTGCTCACAATTTCTTTACGGGTGGGTGTATTCTCCTGCCGAACCTGTGTGGGAGTGCTCAAGCGCCCACTGGAGCGTTACGATCCCCGTCCTCCTTGCATGTCAGCCTGTCCTTTATCGCGGAGAACGCGATAGCATATATACAGATCAACTTATCCTACGGTAAAATGTTGCGCCACACGTGCTGTGCCAGCTACTTGACAAGGTAAGCCCTCATATTGAAGCTATCCCGTAAATTTGTTGCCATGCTGCACGGAGTTTAATCTCTTTATTGTCTGTAACGCGCACTTATCATGGGACGCCACGACGACGACATTACTCATCAGAGCGCCAGGTTCCACTTAGTGTGGTCGCTTAGTTTAAATCTCTCAGGGACACCAAGTAGAAAAAGATCGGCTGTGGTCCCCTTTTTTAACACAGCATACGTATGTTAATGCATTTTATATTTCAAGACATTTGTAATCGGCTTAGATGACTGTGGGGTGAATAGTAAAACTCTGCCTGACTTCCGGGATATAATCTTGACCATTCTGTGAGACGCCAAAGATCCAACTCTTTCGAGATAAGATTGTGTTTTTTAGTGATTTATTTATTTTTCAAAGACATATATGACGATCAATACTATTTCGAAGCCTGCTTAATCTTAGAACATCCCTTTGGTATTTTTTATCGCCAAATGTAGGATGATCGTTATACCTGACAAGAGCATCGAGGCCCACTAACGTCGTGATAGAGTTCCACGAAAGATCAAGCGTTTCCGCTGACAGCGCAAACTTATGCAGAACCCAGTCTGGTAGGCGTTGCACTTCACGGTCAACCAACCTCACCTACAGCAGATTTTCCATCATATTTAAATGTATAGATCTCTTACATTAGTCATAAATAAACGGCATTTTGAACTGTTTATTGTAAGCGTAGCTGTTTGAGGATTATTCTAAAAAAACACATTCCGTCTTCAATAACATACCCCTGTGTAACAGTGAATTTGGATTTCGCATGTACAATGAAAAATTCAAAGCACTATCTGTGCTTTAATTAATTTTATTTAATTTACCTGATTTTTTCTCAATGAATAAGGTTTGAATATTTACAGAAGCGTTTTGCTACCTCGGTTCCTTCAGAGGCGCCAGCATTACTTGCAGCAGAAGCTCCTAAAGTGGCATACTCGATGTCCATTGTGTCCGCGGTGATTTTTCGGATTTGAACTCGCTACCTTTAGATGTCTGCAAGTCAACAGAAAAATGTTCTCGTTCTTTAATTAATTGTGGTTATTTTTTCAATTTAGTTAGAATAAATGTTCGAAACAGCCTCTAAAGAAGAACAGGACACGCCGCAGAAGAGGAGCGGATCTTGGAAATCCACATTAGACAATCAAATATTTTATAATAATTTAATTCAAAAGAAAAATTTAGACGGGCCTTTATTGGCAGGTTATTACTTAACTAAGTACGTATGTATGTCTAATATCTCAAATCTAGATCAAACGTTGTTTTTCAAGATGTTTATATTTCATCACTTCCATATGAAGAATGATAACTACCTAAGATAACATAGAGATTTTTTTTACCGATGTCCTTCAAGTTCTCATATAGCTTATGTTTGATTAAACATTAACCACTCATAGTTATCAGAAGTCGCCTCTACTCCCACTACTAGTTTGCAAAAGCTCTTTCTTTTTCTAAACGAATCAACTTTTGCTTAAGCTGAACTGAACTTACCGAAGACTAAGAATAAGCTGCGATATCAAATAAATTTTATATTTGGCCGTCTTTAAAGACCGGTATAAAGGAATTGAAAATCTATTGATTGAAAGCAAAAAATTACATACTGATTGCAAGCGTATTTTCTTGCATCAGAAGCAATGTTCTGCAACTGGTATCATAATGTCTTCTACGTCATCTATCATTAATTAGCAGGGACATTTTTTTAGCTCAATAACATAAACATGACCAATCTTTCCTATACTCAAGTAATGTGTTATACAAACATTTTCATATTTAAATAATAAGCAATTTAACCTGCCGCAGAGATGCTATCAAATCGAACATTTAAACAACAACAATAACTTAAATTCTAAATTAAAAAATGTTTAAATTTTTTGAATTTTTATGAACTATAAAACTAAGAAAAAAATTAAATTTTAATCAAATTTTAAAAAAAAAAGTTTTGTTGCTGTTTTCGATAACCTTGAGATATTTTTTGCTAAATAGGCTTTCAGAAATTCACGAAGTAGGTCGTGCGATGGTCTTTTCTAAATTAATCAAGATGCAACATTAGATTATGTTGGATTTTGGTTGATTTTTTTTTGGGAGGTTTTTCAGGAGAACTAACGATAAACATCGATAAAGCTCGTTTTAGTTCATAACTCTTTACTTGATATTTTTAATTTAGCCATAATAAGCCTATATCTTGCAAAATGCTTTCTATCTAACTGCGATTTACCTTATTCTCAATTGTAGAGTTGCGTTTAATCGTCTATATTTAAATACAATGGGTCTACACCCAACTCCAATGAAGTTAATATTTTGAAGCATAATTTCAAGATTATACTGCATGTTGGGCGTGATTAAATCAATAAACACTAAATTCTAACTATCTAAGATCATGCGGCGGTAAACTAAACTGATGTCCTTTTAATGGAGCAGATAGGCATGCTTTCACTGAGGAATGACAAAATAGCCTAACAAACAAAAGCAATACTATCTCTATCTGGCCGATAGTTAACAAGCGTCACAACAGATATAACTGGCAGATTCAAGGCCTCTGTTCTTTTATTTTGACTTCGTTTTGGAAAGAATTTTCTTACCATCAGTTGTTTGATATATCTGTAGTGGTTCACAACTAATTTTAGGCACTAACGACAAAAACAGCGCCCGCGTGTGGCGAACACCCCTTAGGTATCCTACGTTATCAGTATCAATGTTTTGACCCAGTCTATGTGACGCGTTTGCTGGGCCTGCATGTGTGTCTCAGTTGAGATTTGCACTTAACAAACACCACTCGGATTATGCTTCCAGCTGATAGTTGTCGTTTAGATCCTTTCACGTTGTAACCATGTGCTTTTTCACACAGTGCCCGTAAGTAGGCACTTGTTCCGTTGCGCAGTAACTTTCACTATCTTTGGGTCCATCATCACGAGCGTGCATCAGTTTGTAGCCCGCTCATTTCTATACACATCACATAATATATATGTATTGCCAATAGCAAATGGAGAGGTATGTGAGACGTGACGGCAGTACTCTACTTACCACAGCTGAAGCTCGACTAATAAGGCCACACGTAGTAACTACCCCGCCGGTGTCGGGGAGATTTCTTGCCGTATCGCGATCTCGTCATGCAGACGCTGGCTCGTGGAAATCCAGCCAATTGACGATCACACAACCGTCGCCAGCTCTCGGTAAACTCTCGTCTCCGTTTACCAAAATCCTTCGACAGATCGTACAAAGAGCAAAGAGATAGTACAGCTGAAAATAAATGCACAGCAATGGCGAGATCTTTTTTGTTGTCGAAGGGGAACGCTTTTACGCACGCATAGATGGTAAGGAGACTGCCTAAAAATTCTCGGTTCAGAGCAACAACGATAACATGTCAAAAAATAATTACTGCTGGTAATGACAATGATTATGATAAGCAAAAGATACGACAGTGATTAAGAATATCGATTATAACAAAAGCGTATGTCTCCTTCTTCTCTCTGTTAAAGGTTTCTCCGTGGAAACTAGGATATTGCATTCAATTTTAAGAACGTCAACTTGACACGGAACAAGATCATTATTTAGGACTAATAGTTAGGACTAAATGCACCTCGAAGACGGAAGATTTTTTACTTTACGTTATATTTCGATGAAAGAAAATTCAAAGGGGATTATACTTGTAGTAATAAGAGTTCCCAAAAAAAGAATCTGTTAAAAACTATTCGCCGATTAAAACTGTCTCCCTGATGTTGGCAAGCAACGCTAATCTATTCATTTAAAACAAGCGGATACGAAATAAATTTTTTCGTTTTGTTGCTTTTACTTGACATCCGCTCTTCATTTGACCCAACTACAGTCCTTAAAAGTGATAGTAACTTAAATCTTGTCATCTTGAACACTTCCAGGTAGTTTATTTGATCCGCAGTTGAATGCTTTTGAATCCAAGAAACGTTACTGCGTGGAGAGCCCGTGCTGGATGTACACGGAGCTGTTCTAATATGATGCTGCTCTTCTAAACAGTTAAGCTGTCAATAATAATAATGTCCATTGCATGCGATACCGGATATATCGAGCATCTAATACCGACTGATTTGTACGTCAGTGAATCACTGAAACACTGGAGTACGGTTAGCGTATTCTATATACAGCAGAATATGAGTCAGGACAGTCGTCAAAAACGGCCCGTGCAACCATTATAATATGTTCCGTCTAAGAAGTATATGGAAAGCCAGATCATTTCAATTTAGAATACACCCATTTTGTAAAACTATTCAACGCCCTTAGTGCTCTGACAAGTCACTCTAGAAAACTCTCTACACGAACACAGCGGAAGTTAGCATCACTAACGATAGACTCTTGCATGCAAAAGGAAGATCTAGTTAAGTGTGCTATGAATTGTTCTTACTAAAATGCTGGCTATTTCCATTTTAGTCGAGATGGACCGATACCCTTTTTCAGGAAAACTCGCAATTTGTATCATAGGAAGGCATAGCTCCAAACGGGAACCACTTGCTTGCCAAGGAAATTGGCTGTCCCATGACTGTAGTTTTGAACTGCCCGTCCCATGACAACCCATTGGCACCGTTAAACAGAGCTAATTCAAGCAGCTGTCATGGACGATCAAGCACAAGAAGGGATCGTTAATACTCCATCTACCAGCGTCTTCTTTATTGATGCTTTTATTTATTTAGGGACAAACTGTCTCACTATTTAGGCTTGAACCTGGATACCTCACGGATCTGTCGACGAATAGGTATCAATTACACCCTATGAGAGACAAGAGCACGCGCATCTGGTATGTATAGTCACAATTATTTAATTTGTGCAGTTTCTATTGTCTTGACAGTATCCTCGAGTATACGTAATTCATACTCTTTGGAAATATTATCATTATCTAACTGCTATTTGTATATAACCTAATATAACGTCTTCTTTTATAGGGCTGGAGGCTATCAGTATCTAATATCTACATCCATATTCTATGGAACATAAACGATAAATAGTGCTTTTTTTTTTCTAAAAAATGATTTTAGTTTTCTGTTATTTCAAAGAAAAACGCTTCTGGTTGGGCGCTTTGTGAAAAAATTATCCTAAACATGCTTTGGAGTTCTTTTGAATGATTTAGGTGCGAAGAAAGTAAGCCATGTTCATGGGATCATGGCTATTGAACTATGGCGCTATCCTTTTATTTGGCTATCGGCGGTGTGATTTTGTGTAAAGCCCACCTATTTTTTCAGCTGAACAGACGAAACGAAAAGACATCGTTACGTTTTCAACAGAAAGTAGTTTTTAAATGGAATGGTACCTCGATGTTATTGTTCACACATCGCAGTTTATTTCTTAAACGCTTTTAGACTGATACTGTTATTATTATCACACTCCCTGTGTCAACCCTTATCTGCTTCAGGTGAACATACAAAATGACGTCGACCTTCAAAGGTCCGGAAGTTTCAGCTAGCCAAGACATTTACGTGTGTTTAATTGTACCAGACGAGCAACGAGATGAGCCAATCGTTAACTCTAATTGCACGCTATACTCGTGAATCAAAACACACAATACCGTACGCAAAACCGGCTGAGACCACTAGCAGAATCAATCTTACACGCTTAAATATCAATCCGTCGACTCAGAATAACCTCAAACTTCCTACGTAATATCTAAATGCCCGTATCTAAGTGAACCATCAAAATTTATACTATCAGATTCACTTATTCGTGGAAAGGCAGCCGCTTGAAAACAAACACTTAGACAAAGTGGTCAAGACACTTCATCAGACCTTAGTATCGGACGCGAAGTTCTTCGAGCTGCGCTGAAAGTCGACTATACACGATCGCCTTTACAAAGAAGTAAGTTTTGAAGACAGACAAAATTGGCCTCAAAGTTAACTTGATTTATCTAGACGTAAGCCCTAGTAACGATACCAAAATTTCTATCGCCGTTACCAGAACAACTGCAATAAAAAAATCTTCGATAATAAGCTACAATCCAACATGGCCTTGAACCCTGAATCTCTTGAGTATTAGATGACTGATAGTACCGATATGTAGTAATAAATCGCTCATTTCTGTTTTATTATGAGCTTATGGTGTGGTAAGGCGTTATCGAGTAATTTCACCGAACGTGATAAGATGAGGCTGAGTTGTTTAAAGTCCAGTGGCAGCCTTATACCGATTTTCGGTCGAAGGACATAGGCGTTTAGCGAGAGTACTGGTGTCGACAGGTTCCGGCAAAGTGCTTTTCGTATAGATGATGCCTATGAAAGAACAGGCCGGGTTTCTTGTTCAATGTGTTCGGGTCGGACTAAAGAAGCGAAACATATACACTTGTGTTATGTACATTAATTAGGCTAGCTGCGAATGTGCAGTATTTTGGAGAGCGGAGCGTAGGGTTTAAGATGAAAGTCTATGAGGCCGTCCGTCTGTGTTTTGAAGAGTTGTTGTTTGGTTGCTTCTGCGGTAACTGCTTGCTAGGCAGTATATGAACTCTCCGCGGTAATAGTTTATCAAATCGGGGTAAGACCTTCTCGAAATCTGAATAATTGTATCCTGCGACTGCTATTCTCTCGAGGATAAATCGTTTTCTTTTTCTGCGGTCGTTGATGCAAGTCCTTTCATACAGTTAACAGTAAAATTTGTACATCTTACTCTAGATACTATGTTCGGATTGTCGTAGTATGCGCCTGTAACATTAATAGTATGCAACAAGTGTATTAAAAATAACGTACTACAGTTTTATATATATATAACTAGTATAACTTATTATGACTATTGTTACCATTTGCGTAGGCTGAAACATTCAACGGATTTGATTACCAAGCACTCTCGTTAGACATCGTCATGATGATTCCTCCCTGGTTTCAACGCAATTCTGGCCTGCCATACATAATTGTTATTCTTCTCGGAATAACCTTAGAGGCTCAATTTGGATTCTCCGAAACCGTCAACATGGACCAATACAGTACGTATTATATAGTTTAAGACCTGAGCTAATTTATTTGGTTCTAACGAAATCGTTTGTTAGCGAAATGCTTGTTGATTTACCTAAATGTTAAGAACCGCGGGCTGTTTAAGCAAACCGCTTATGATGGCTGTTCATAGCCGAAGTCTGGCTCATCTTTAAGCTCTATGAGAACTACCATTTTTTTTTTTTTAAAAACTTCCTTCAGCATTACGTTCGAACAAAAAAATCCTTCGTTTACATTGTATTAAATTTTTACCGTCCGGTCTAAGTTTTACTCTGAGCTCGGACTCTGAAGTGAATGTACTAGCCTTCTAGCATCTTTCTGACTTGATTAGATAAAATTATATTCAAATAAAAAATATTTTTAACATAACATATCACAATAGCCGGTCGCCAGACCAGCTACTCCACCAAACTTCTAATTAAAAATGAATTTTTTCGAAAACAGCTGATTAAAACGTGGCAAATATAGTTCTCGTCGTTTAAATCAGTTTGCTCGTTAGGATACCCAGCTTTTGAAACTAGAGTAGAATTACTGAACATCAATACGCATATCCATAGTTAGACGAACCGTATGAAAAAAATTATGATATTGCCAATGTTTACCGTTTTTTTTTTTAATATGTTACGGTATGCTTGTTATCTTGTGCTAATTTTTAACGTCTTCTTTCTACTTTCGATAAATCTGAGCCATTTTCCAGGCCTTTGTGTTCAGCCGGTTGTAAGGCGATCAACTTTTATATGCTGTCCCATAAAGTTCCTTTAGTATTGAATATGCTGTTTATTTTTATGAAGTACCAAAACTGTTATTAAAATAAAGTGTGATTGAGTCAAAGACATTTATGGCGTGAATCTATAGGCTATCTATAGCGTGAAAAGGTAAATTTTGTTTCTCATCAAATACTAGGAAAAATTAGTAGAAAGAAACGTTTACGATGGCAAAAGCTTATTCGACGGCAATATTATTTTATAGTTATAAAGGTAATTTGCTACATTTAGCAAATGAATAGCTTCAAAGAAGACGTAGTGATCTTTCGTCGATGTGAAACACAGCGTTTTGACGCTTCGTAACCGAACTCGCCGATATGAACCCACTCTCAACGATCTCATCTTACTATTATAACAATGGGTTTCTCTTACATTGAAGAGTTCCACATGTCGAAGGTTCTTTCCTTGTACATGAATGGCTTCAATGTTCACCAACTTGGCACCATTCTCGTTTCGATGGCGTACTCGTTTTCACCCGCTGAGGATCGCCCTGTCGTCGAGCAGTGTCTGGGTCAGCATGACAATGAAACTGTAACGGTACGGGACCCTGTTGGGTATAGCATAAAAATCAATAGTCGTCGATAATGAGATAATTCAGAAATCTTGCATGTCGTATTGATTAGTTAACTTTAACTACAGCAAGCGTCGCGGGTCAAGTAATGAGTCGAAAGAAAATACTTGCTCGTCACTTAAAGATAGATGCCTATTTAGCATAACGTAGCTTTCTTCTTTTAACAGAGCCTATTGTATATATATATAATAGAACAGAATAGGGCCTCGGGTATCAAAATTATTTGTAGACAAGCTGCGACTTCCGATCAAAAAAGTGCTAGCTTACTATAGAAAGCTGCGAATTATCAAAGGAAGAAAGACGAGACGTAAAGGGAGTTTTCAATAGAGCTTGGAAGACTTGCCTATCCTAATCGGCAATGCTGGTTAAAGTTTCAAATTGGGAAAGTTAACATTGCCTACTAACAATTGTATTACGTTATAGAGGCTGACTGAATGCTTGTCAATGAGCTCGAACAAAGCGAAATGTATCCCACAGATAAAATAAAATAACCTGTTGCTCAATTCAACAGCGGTATGATAACTGAGAAGATAACCTGCGTTTCTAATTGGCAGGAGCTGATCAAATGTTATATGGAGAAGACGAACATGGTAAGTGTAGCAGACGTAGACTAAGTTTACTTTTATGTATTTGAATTTGTATATATTCTTGGAGAACGCACTCAGCAAGCTACATAGCTCATAGTCAAGTTCCATTTCGATATTCTTCCAGTAGTTTTAACTGGAATGGGTCGCGATACATAGTTTTGCAGAAGGTGGAAAGTCATTTAGCACGCTCTGTGTAAAGGTTTCCTTCGGACGATCTCACTACTGAACACGCTTTTCAGTCAAAATCGAAACGGGATATTTCCACTATGAGCGACATTACTGTTTTGATATCTTTTGGAGCGGTTAATTTTAGTTATATAAAAATATTAAAATTGTTTCGGATTGTAAAATTAGATGGATTCTGATAAGAAATGCAATCTGACGAAACTGAAGGAGTTCATAACGGTAAAGATGGCAGCGGCTCCGCCGATAGCCGTTGCAGTACTACAAAAGTACGCTGAATGCGTATGTCAGATATCAGGAGCTGAGGGAATGATTTGCGCTCAACAAAAAACAATGGATGTAAGTTAAAAGGAGATTTTCGTATCCAATTCACGTAAATGAATGATAATTGATAGTGTTTTTTTCTTGCGAGGTAAAATCATTGGCTGTTTACGCTATGAAATAACCGTTTTAATTCCTAATCTTATTTTCAGTATGTCAGGACGCTCTGCAGCGCCATAGTCGGCGACGAATGAACGGCGAGCTTCGCTACCTCTGAAATCTACTTTATTTTGACCGTATGTGTTGCCAACGTACGCGTTCTTGACGAATTCAATCTAACTAAACCGCTTGTACAACGGTGAAAAAATTTCGTTTGGTATTCTCTTTGGAATAGCAAAACGAGGTTCTCCTGCACGCTTTGTAACCTGATGTCGTTAGTAATTTTATCAAGTTCAACAGTGAACGCTTCAAGAGCGAGGAGTCTCAATGTTGGCCAGTGCAATCGACTAGTCTGAGCAATTCTACAATAGACTTCCTGTTTGCGCCTGAGACTGTCGCATTTCTTTCTGAACGAGCTATGCAAATGGATTTAGAATCTAATTAGCTAGCCGTTGCTTCAACTGAAACTCACCAATAGGTCGGTATGCTACATTATTCCCAGCTAAGAAAATGCAAACTGGAAAGCTAAATAGGAATACAGATCGAACAAGCTATTCATATTGTCGTTGGAAAGGCTTTTCACAGCTGTGTTCGCAGGTGGCCGATTTTTTTCCAAAAGCAAAGCAAAGCAGCTTTACTCAAAGCTAGCAGTAGAAAATGTACATCTATGAATTTTAGATTCTTTCAAAATACAGTTGTCAGATGGATCCGCTACCGTAAACATACAACGCTACCAGATAAAATACAAGAAATTAAGATGTATCTCTTTCGAACGGCAACAAGTTATTTTCTTGACGATATCTTTTACTTAACTACACTCGAAGCTGAACGTTACTTTCTTTTTTTTTATGAAATTTATTCACCAATCAACGTTTACAAAGTCCAAAATGACAGCATGTATGTATACAGCCAGGATGATAATAACAGCATGTTTGAATGTGCTGAAACCTGTAGTTAAGCATGATTCTAGTACAAATAGTTATTCATGGCAACTTCTTATCGATGCTCATTATCGGTGTCTGTGTCGATGATGTATTGTTTTCCAAACGATGTGTTATGTCAAAACAATCGTCAACGTTATTTTCCGCAACGGCTATAATAATATACTGCCTTAGTTTAAGTTTACATATATTTGCGTTCCTCATATTAAGCTGAGCTGTGCTCTTATCATACTCAGTTCTTCTAATTTCTCTTAAGATTAGCATCGATGGCATTCGGCTGGAATAACATAACCAAAATTGTATACAGCTTACCGTTTTATGGAAAATAGAAATTTGAAATAAGCGAAACTGCGACTGTTGTTTTTCTCCTTCTTCTTCTTTACCATAACTTCAACAAAGAAGCAGTTGTCTTCTCATACAGCTCCACCTTTCCATTATTTAATAACTTTCGCGTAGTCTTCACACATTGTGTAGCACGTTCGAAATATAGTATATATATATATATATCATAGAACTACAGCAGCAAAAACAGTTTGTCGTATAAGCCTCGTACTCAGTAACGGGCCTCAATTTAATAAATCCCAAAATACTCACAAATAATCTCGTACAAGACCCGTATTTAAAGCTGTGATGAAATTCGACTTATCCTAAGGGTTTAAGAGTGTTAGGATTCAAGTCAAGAACTGTACCTCAGAATGCTATATTTAACCGAAGATTAATAAGGCAGAGAATTAATTTACTTAATGGGAAAGGACGCGCACGCAAGGTCTTCGTGAACTATTTTTGATGAGATTATGAAAAGCTCATACAGATCTCACTAAACGAATGCATTTATTTGTCGTGACGTTTAATTGAGTTTTATTATATACTAATTATAATCTATGATACCATAAGATTAAGCGTGATACTTGGCACCCGTACGATTGTTAACAGACTTATTGTGTATTAAGAGTCCCTGTCTCGAAGCCATCGTTATTCCCGTCGCGAATGTAGGTAGTGAACGATAGACAATGACAAAAGATGCCAAGTCAAATGAACGGCATCGTGTATATCGGTTTTTAAATGCGCCACATTGTTTCTTTTCTATCGAGATGTATCAGTCTTTTCAACGGTGAGACAATAGCAATTCTAAACTCTGCTCGATATCCTAATATCTCTCCCAATTTTCTTTCCATATTTCAACAAGCGCATGCACAGAAGCTAATTCGTAAGACATATACTACGAGTATACGTTTTATAAATCGCGCCGCGAGGCAGACGTGACACCATGAGTTTAGTTCCCTTTGCGGGCCTCCGCTGTAGAACACATTTTAACAATGTTTCAATCAAATAGCTCTTTGGGCCATTCTCAATATTCAATCTAATAATCTTCGAAATTTCCAGGCAATATTGCCAAGAAATACAATTGGTTTTCGACCAACTAGGATACAAAATATGTCAACAGACATTGTGTACAATAGGTTCTCCTATTTCGTCCCTTTGTTAGTCGTTTGTAACGATTTGTAGAAATGGCCTAATAATGAATTGCCTCGCATCACCTACTGAAGTGCGATGATTTCCCAGTGGTAAATACTTGTCATCATTGGAGTAAACATGCATTTTAATTAAATAGAACAATATAAATGACTATATATTCCATGCAGCGTTCTGTGTATCCAGCGAAAATCAAAATAGGAGACTTTGGAAATATCACTAATCGTTGTAATTATATCTTTGATCAGCCTCTTTCAGAAGACGCATGACGACTAAAACGTTGATGCTGACGCACAGCAGATACAGACAAACTCCATCTTCACCTTTATAAAGAACTGCGACCTTTTATCGAAGCACGAAGCACAGTTTTTTTTATCTTAAATTATTCAAATGTAACAATTCGATTAATACCGTTAAGATAAAAAATGTCTTTCCTTATATTATAAGGGTCGATGTGGACGATTCTATTCGTACTTAGAATAAGCAGGACACACCGCCTTTATTTGCCAATGCAGAACTGACTAAATATTGTATCAAGAATCTCTTCCGCACCGACTGTTCCAGAAATTCGTCCTAAAGCAACCATTGCACGTCGAAGATACTCAGCAGATATTGCCGCGTCGCCTGACGCGTCCTCCAGGCATCGCTGTATATTTTCTAGTGCCTCCTGAAATATGCCACACACAACTGTAAAAACTAGGATAAACGACACATCCACGAGGACCGTAAGTTACTATGCGAATTCGTTCTCTGTTCTATTATTCAACAGTAATATCAACATAGAAGTGAACAGTTTGCACCGTGACTAAGTGCAGTTATACTTCCCAATAGGCAATAATAATAAGAGCATAAAATAATGTTCTACTCTTCAACTCTAGAAATACCGTTGTCCGAAAAATTAACTACTAAATAATAGCCTTGCAAGAATATCTTCGAAACAACAATGTTCGAGTGAGGGAAAAGTTGCTGTCTGTCCGCCGTTATAGGTTGTCGCTTCAGTTAATATAAAGTCAGTTCCCTTTTGAAAAACAAAACATGCAGATTGCGGCATGTGTACGGCAGCTGTATACAGATGCTTGGAGGGGCAGATCTCTACACCAAATAGATGTTCATGTCAATTATACCGTGCCTATTTAATTACGAGCACAATAATAAACGGTGCAAAACTTTAGTAAAGATATTTTAGAACAAAAAAAAGCGTCCGTAAAGAATAACTCAATGAAACAAAAGTCAAAACGAAAGTACTCTGTGATGCCACAAGGAAGATGCGCTGCGTGGGAGCTGAGTGCAATCGGCGCTTGATTGACGTTTTTCTCATAAGTGTCTTTGATCTTATGCAAAATATTGGCAGTTGACCTTATCGCTGTGTCCGCTAGAATGTAAGAATCCGTAAAATAATAGCATTTTCCGTAATCCCATATTAAGACCCGCAACGAACAATATGAATTTGGAACTCGCGTCTAAGAGCTGCACAAAAGCTCCTTCCGTACTTGGATCAAGTTCCTCTGTCGTTCCCTGACCACGAGAGCAGGCGTGTCGTGTACAGCAAAGCGATCTGCAAGCCGGGTGACAATACCTTCGATTAGGTTGCCTACTCCCTGACCGCTATGACAGGAGACTGCATAATCCACTAAGTTTAAATCCGGAACAGTACGTTTTAGTAGGTCGAAATTTGTGAAAAGATCCACCTGCAAATTTTAATACCAATGCGATTTAATTCAAATAGATTAGCTATAATCGCCGCCGTAAATTGAACATGATTTTTCAGTACACTGTGACGCCAACGTTACAACCCTTTGTGTGTGTATCGGTCTGAGACAGGCACCTTTATATTGTGCTGGATAGTTTTTAAAGTTTAAAGTTACCCTCACAGTTACTTAGCGGTTTCTCAGAACTATATAGACTAGCTCCAAACTAAATACGCACATACTGAAAAACAAAACAGGCGGAGTAGAGTGCCTGTTCGCTTGAACCCGTAAAATTATCAAGCGTAACGAATTTACTGCGTATCTGTCTTCATAAAATAGCATGCCTATTTTAATACCTATACCTTAATTCAGGATCAGTTTGTACAATTGTTGTCATGTCGAACAAGCAAAGCATCTTTAAACACATGTAGATAGCAGTAATTGTATAGGATACCTAATAACTGTATAGGATACCTAATAATGCCGTCGTGAGAAGTATTGTCACTTAGTAAAACAAGTTGACCCATCAATAAAAAATGTGAAACTTACTTTGTTTAGAACTACAATGCTGTTGCACTTGTCTGATTCACGAGTTGTACTGCCTTCATTCAATAAAAGGCGGTGATCTTCCTGCACCAACATAGGGTCGTCAGTCACCAGGATGTTCAGGTGGGCCTGTCTAAAAGTCTACCTTATGTTACATAAGGAAAAAACTACTGCCTGGTCAGCTTTCGTAATAAATGACGCTCGACTTCATACATTTTATGAAACTCTTGTAGGATTCTTCATTTCACGCCATTTACTATTCTTTTTTTCACATCTTCATAAGTGTATTTTTTATTTGTTCTAGGCTAATTTAAAGTAGACTACCTGGAGAAGTCTCTCGCTCTTCGTATGCCTTCGATTTCAACGGGGTCACGCGAGTTCCACCGGGCTCCGGCCGTGTCACAGAGAATAATCGGAAGTCCTCCGAGATCTACAATATTCCAGTTTTTACAGAGAATTTTTTGACCATACTTTTTTCTTAGTATACAATTTTCTACGATCTATGCCCGATATGAAATCGAACGAAAATTCCCCAGTGAGTTGCTTAATGTAAGCTGAGCTTAACTAATATATCAACCTCTAACGCACTACTGAATCCATGCAAAATCATCTGTAGCTCATTCAAAATTGATCAGAAAAACCAAATATACGATCTGATTGTGTGACTCGTACGTACCAACTGATACGCGAATTAGATCACGGGTAGTACCGGCGAAAGGACTTACAATAGAAGCTTCTTGACGTGAAATCAAATTGACTAAAGTTGATTTTCCAACATTTGGCCGACCTAAAATTCGATTTAATCTTTTAAAAGCGCCCTAAAAACCTAGAAACTATTTTTGCGTTTCCTAAGCTGTAACACATGCCCAGTAAACATATGCCCAGTTAAGGTAATTCATATAAAATATAACTATTCATTGGCAACCGTGAATGTTAGTAAATGATGCCAAAACAAGAGCAAGTTAGCATGCTTTCGTACATACGGTTGAAATCTTTGCTAGTCCCCGATAACAAATCGGATTACTAAAACGAACGTTATTCGAAGTGTATATTTTATATTAGAAGCCACTAACAGGTAATGGGCGGTCACAGGTCGTAATCGTATAAAATCCTTTCAGTACCAGTTATTGCAACTTTGAAGCCTGTACGGATAGCCTCCCCCTGAGGAGCCGTTCGCAGCGCCTCGCTCATCTCATGCGCGGTTTTTTTAAGTACGCAACTGGCTTGCGACATAACCTATAAAACATTTAGCACCAAGAAGCCAATGAACTATTGCTACAGTTGGCATTAAAAAAAATATAGAGTTAAGCTTGAGGTTCCTTAGCGGAGTCTATTGCGAAATTTCTCTAAACGACCCTCTATATGTGATTCTAAAAAGATAGTACTTTTATATTAGATCAACCTCAAACATACATTGCATAAATTATGAGAGACACAGTTCGCGAAATATACGTACTTTTAAGATCAAAAACTCTAAACATTGTCAATTAAAAGTGGTGTGGATTTCAAGGTGGTTTACTTCAACCCCTACCTGTACGTTAACAATTTTTATCTGTAGATCAATATACATAGTCTGTTTTTTAACAATGCGAAGCCTGTATATATGCATGTAACCATAAAAGATATCCTACACTTTTTATCTATCGACAATATTCTTTATGCTGGCACGCGTAGATGCTCCTATCGACTATATACTAGTGGACTTGATAAATAACGAATAAACATATTCATTACATACGCGATGGAACCAAAAATCTGAATACCGTGCTCGGAGATATGTCTTGGTCTTCTGAAAAGTCGATGTAAACTTCGAAATTAGCCCGCGCTGCCTTCAGCTGCTGCATCCAACGCGCACAGGCAGAAACCAACTGCCCACGACCTGTCTATCAAAGTTCTGACTTAGGTTATAGAGTAAAGGATTCGATGAACATAAAAACATGATTAATGGCGTGTTTCAAGTTTTGTGAGTGATGCTCGACCTCTTTCACTGCCATCGATTCGCACCAGCTATATATGCCGCTACTCCTAATATATGCATTATAGAGTTCTATTTTCCTAATACAAGTGCGTACATGAACATACAAGGCATCGCAAAAATCTTTCAACAGTCTTTAATTTACATCTTCTGAAGTAGCAGCGAAACTGTATGTTGTATAAATGAAAGTATAAAGAAGCTCAATGAAGATTCTCAACCTGTAAAGAGATCTATGCTTCATCTTATGACTCTACATACGTTAGCAGGTCATTTAGATCCGAGCAGATATTATGACAGTGGTAGGAGGTGTTGTAATCTAGTTAACGAAGATAACAGACCGAAGTTTTGCTCATATTTATAAAGATTCGGACACAAGGTAGCTTTTGGAAGCTACTCATTATCCTAAAGTTTTAATTGAAGATATGGATAGGGGTTTTCGGGCTTCCCCACGTAAGACCAACCCGTTAAGAAGCTTTGAGTTGTTTATACACGGTCTAGCACCGAAAAGTGGATAGCACATTTTAGCGTAGCTTACTCGATAAACTTCTAACAGGTCTAGTTACATAGTTACAAGTTCTTTGTTTTGTAGTTTTTTTGTAAAATTTTATATGGTACTTCGAGGTTGTAAAATGCACATCTGACATAACCTCACGTTTAAATTAAATTATATAAATATTCGATTAATGACCTCTGATGGCCTGGTCAAGCTGGGCATCGGTTTCTGCTTCAATGAGGTCTGCAAGGCTTTCAACATCAGTGAGATCCATTTTTTTATTGAGGAACGCCCGTCTCGCAAATTCACCAGGCTCTGCAGCTCGAAGGCCCTCAAGTGATGCCAGTGCTGATGTCAGCGCTCGAATCACCGCCAAACTACCGTGGCATTGGAGCTCTACGACGTCCTCACCTGCTAAAGCGATTTTTATGAACAATAATTAAAAAAAACTGCAAAATAATCGTAAGAGATCGACGTTGACATTGAAACGGTAAGTGACTACCTAAAAAAGGCCTTGGTAAGTTCCGCATAAACTTGCGAGTGTACAATGCAATATAGAATAACACTATTAAAATGAATAGTGTGCTGACTTAATTAAATTTCCTTTACGTGTAGGTGGCTTGTGTATGCTAGCTAGCATAAACCGAATATCTATAAATGTATGTAAGTAGCGAACGATAACTGGTTAACGTATTTTTTTTGCAGATTCGGATCCGAAGGCCTGCAGTTAAAGGCATAATCGATTACAGTTCATTTACGTACCTGTGAATGAGTTTGGAGCGCTAAACCAAAGCAAAACCGCCTTATCAATTTCCCGATGACTCTTTGGATGGCGTAATGTTCGAACGTAGACGCGCCCATGTTCCGGTCTGGTTTTAAAGCCTCCCATGGTAAGCAAAACTGTCACTGCAATATCACCGCCAAAAATGCTTTTTACTAATGCGATATCCTCTATTATGAGAGATGGAAAAAAGTTTGAAATCGTACGCTTCCTACTGCCGGTCCGCTATGTGACTCAATCAGTAGACCCCAATATAACAACAGCTTATTCATATAAATACTAATACATACAGTGGCTTAAGTGTCCAGGCCTCTTGTCGGAAGAAAGACCAAGAGTTGTCAGTATGAGGTTCGCTAGTCATATATAGTATGCGACCTGTGTGAATAAGGAAATGCATAATAATAAAAATGCCGGAACTTGAAAGTAATACACCTTTGTAAAGCAGTGCAATGGAAACTTTGAAAATAAGAAAGTATTAAATGTACTGCGCAATTAAAACAACGCTGTAACATCGATATGCGCAACATAAATCACGAACGTACATATACTTACTAGCTTTTGGACCCGATACTCTGAAAACTGCTACCGCACTCTTTACGTAGCCCGTTGAGAGTGCAAAAATTGTTGACAAATTTCTTATAGATAAATATTTTTTTGCTGGAAATGTTCGTCGTGCTGTACTAAAAAAGGACTTTAGCATGATTGATTTATAATGTACGCGCATTACAGTATAACCATATTGGTAATTAGCATAAAAAAATTCAAGGTAAGTCGACCACAGTTGCAGTTAAGGGCGACCATTAGAATAATCTTATAAATTCGAGACTCAAACGTTTGTCGCAGTAAAACACCAGCACTTCTTTCAATGTCAGCACGGCACTAAAATAAATTTTATTTATTCCAGGTGGAAAATACCTCTTCTAACATTCGACTAAAGTTTTTAAAAATATTTCGATAACCTGCGACCATGGACGGAGTTGTCGTTCAGCTGACTCTCGGGCCACCCTTACCAGCTCAATAATAGTGTACAATTCCGCGCTGTTTCTATGAGAAAGGGTACGGCTCGAGAGAAAGGGTATTCCGCCAAAATTTGATCAAAAAACTCGAGTATAAAGCAACAAGATAAATATATATGAAGAGAAATCGTTTGTCTGCTGGATTCAAGCCGCTCAATATGATGATGTATAAATATGTATGAGACATCCCATAGACTTGACCAGTCTGTCTGTACCGGCCCTCAAATAAAAAATATAAACACAAGGTGAAACACACATAGTGAAAACTCAATATGATATTCAGAATTTACATTCAACTTACATTCTACTGAGCTTCTTTCTACCGAAAGTACTAGGCGTTGTAAGTTGAAATTTGACATCGCTAAGCGTCACAAGCACATTAAGTTAGGCGCGCTATGGGAACTATTCTGTATAACTGGTCACGTTTCGTAAACAAATTAATGGGTCACATTCGGCTTGACTGCATTTTCGTGTCACGAACTTTAGCTACTTACCGCTATGAGCGTTGCTTGTCTATGGTCTTCCTCATTAGAAATCAAATAAAACGAAGTATATTACGAAATAGTTTAGGAGTAGGATTGATAAAGGGCGATTAGGTTCTATGCTACGTGGAACCAAAATACAAGGGCACGGATGGATGTGCATGCTTCTGGCAGTATGCATTTACAAATCAGGGAATTTGTGGAGAATTTTACATAACTCTGTTTTTTTTTTACTCAGCTTTTTTTTAGAACACAGGTATAATGAAAATGAGCAGGTTTGCCAATTATAAGCAAAATTTGGCTGCCCAGCCAACCATTCAGCAAAGAATAGGCAGATACGTCAATAGGCGTACTATATTGAGTGTGCATTATTTATTATTGTAAATTTATAATATCTTCTTTTTCTGATGCTGAGCCGATAACCAACGTTAGTCAACGGAATTCTGAGAAAACAAGTCCTTTTTTTTGTTTATCTAATTATAGCAAAAAATAGTGGCGTTTACGATTTACTGCATATAGACCAAGCATTGCTTGTCAGCGTTTGAAATTACCACTTAGAATAACCTTTGCGTTTCTGCTTTGGGAATACGAATATATAGGATTTCTAAACCTATATATTTGCTGTGCGATCATCACATCACTTCAGAGGCTTGTTCCTTTGAAACTCATTCATATTAATGTAAGCCCAAACGCAAAATGTGTGATCGGTAGTCCTCTCGTAACCCCCCAAAAGTTCCCGTCCTTGGCGAAATATTCCGTGTTCTCTTTTAGAATCTGACGCAAATATTACTGTTCTGATTGCCTATTTGACATGACATCGTGTTCGCATTCATCTGAAGGCACTCGTTAACGATACATTCGCAAAAGCGTTTTCCAACAAGTCCTGTTCCTTATCCTGTTCACCCTCTCCACCAATATATGATATATATGTTTATATGTGTTTTCATAATGAACTAATATATATGCTAAATATGATAGAGTTTGATAATCCTGGATACTCGCAGGGTTTTCCTTTGTTTAACTATTTCTATTTTGTGTATATGCTGTAGAAGTACGGTAGATAATTCGACTTTAATGAAAGGCCCTAATGTTGGACCCATATTGCGCGACTTCCTTCGATCGCAACTTGCTTTTAAACCAATAGCTGGAAGATTGTGCGGTAGCCTCTAGTCACAGCTGTATGTGAAGTACCATAATAACGTGTGCACGTGCAGTTTTGCTTTCTTAGAAGTGCCAAAAGGTTTTTCAGACGCAATTTTTTTTACGGGTGTCTACCTGTATTTTATTAAAATTTTCCGTAAGCTTCCTAACATGTAAAGGTTTACAACTTTTCACTGTCCAGCATAGCTGGCATAAGGCTGTACACTGAGAGGTTTTTTTGAAGCTGCTTTTCATTTCGATTCCGCTGTTTTTGAATTTCTCGCGCTAGAATAAGGTATGCTTCGCCGTAATATTTACTCATATGTCACAAGAGACGCATGCCGGCTTCGAAGGTCCTTGTCAGGTAACTGTCGAAGCAGCCACGGCCGCTGAGTACTTACGTAAGTCCCTTTATTCTCTTGCTACATACCTCCCGATGTCTCTAATAAACCTTCTAGTCCGATGCTCGGGGGCTTTTAATATATCGGCGGTCTCTTCCTCGGCCGAATTGCCTGACCACTCCGTATTCTAGCTGTTAAGAATGGGCTTCCTTGCAGACCCTGCCTCCCCTTTCAGTTCGCGGATCGTGAGTCGCCACGGAAGAGTACATGTAGCACGAGGGCGGCCTCTATCGATATTGCCCGCAAACCACGAGCTGCTTTTCGACGCAAGTAAGGGTTTTGCGGAAATTGTCAGTGTTGAGTGCTGCATCAGCCTAAGTTGGTGTCACGTATTTGACGATACTTCGGGATGGCTGCGAACAACCTTTTCTCTGTTTTCGCTGGTCCTTTCGTATGTGGCATAATCTTTTCTGCGGTATGTTTGACATGCGGACTGAAGATTTAGCTTCTATTTAGTATCACTCTAGAGCATTTGGCCTCTTTTTTGACGGCGATCCCGTGGCCATTTAGAAAAATATCTATGTTTCTGGCCTCATTGCGAGCTACTAGAAGTACGGCCTCGGACACCTTCGGGGCCAGGTCTAGTCGATGTTCCCTTATCCATTCGATGTGCTTGACGTCCTGCACCTTCCTTGCCACCACCGCCAGGTCATCTACATAGGCGATAGTGTGGACGTCTTCTGTCATTGTAAAGTCCAGCACGCCATTGTACGCAATGCATTGTAGAATAGGTCGCTCTTCCGTCACGTCGTCAAACCCGTGCTGGTTGCCGTGCTAGTAAAGTAGCTTTCTATAGCCTGTCACAGGTACTGGTATATTCCTTGCCGCGTTTAGCACTGTCTTCCAGCTTATCGAGTTATAATAAAACTAGTAATTAATATTAATGTATTCAACGCGAGTCACGCTATCATTCCATTAAGTTATGCTAGTAAATAAACATAAACAGTGGCTTGAATCAAAAAGTAGAGAAATTTGGCAGTCACAAGAGCATTACAAAATAAAATCAAAGCAAAAGCGCACGCCGATATTGTTTATACCACTCGACAATGGCAATTATGTGACCTACAACACCTACAAGGATCAAGTTTTTTTTTAATACTTCATAACTAGGGTAAAACTATCAGCTTGCAATACCAATATCACATATTATTGTCCCACAATAATATACGTAACAAAAAATATAAGGTTATTTCACAAAGTGGGAGGTACCAGGAAAAAGGGTTTATAAGAAATGCTTTGGTGATATTAGTTAATTCATGACAAAATGACCGACAATTACCCGCATAAAAGCGCTGAAAAATTTACACACTTTACCAAATGATAGGACCCAGACCACATTGAACTTCTTCCTCCGCTCGCCATTCTATTCAAAAGCGAAATGGCGCATATAGAAAACAAGCCAAGGAATTAAAAGCTGATCAACGTGCCGCTTCCTTAAGGCCACCTCGAATCGATATGCTACCATTTGCGATGGATTACATGACTCAGCCCTGGGTCATTGACCTGTTGAAGGTTATTGATCAAAGAAATCAATTTAATTACTAAAAATATGTGCTTGCCTGGATATTTGATGTGCTGCGGTCTTCTGCCAGTTAGGATCGCAGGCTGCTTTCGGCCTATTTTTTTTACGCTTCTCTTCAGTAATTATCAGGATCGATTTGTAGCTTACTTTGCGGCCTCTTTGACACAAAAACGTAATTATACGTAAAAAATAACTTTTAATGTAAGAAAGCAAAAACAGCCGGTCTCGAAGAAAAGGTATGACAGAGTATGTTTATACGTCAGAATATTTATGCTCATTTTTTTACAATATATGTATATCTAAATAAGCGAAGTGCTACATATAAATGGATATATATACCCATTATAAATTATACATCTACTGCTTAATATGTGAAGACTTGCATGTGAAATATATATATCGGTAATAAGAAAATTGATTATTCTCAACAATAACTAGCTAACAAAAGATAGCATAACATTAATTCTAAGATATGCATGTAGGCCTATATACCGTTACCATGTATGGTAAGGAGAAATTTACTGATTTTATTTGGAGTAAATTGATTATGTAGTAAGCTATACGATGTTTTGACGTGGGCCTCACTATCGCAAGGGAAATTTCACGTTTACGCTTGTCCTGTACATTTGCTTCCTGATTGTACGATAGACTAGTTCATTATTAATAGCTAACTCGACCAATTGAAGATAGTGGGCAAAACATACTTGTGATGCCCTCGTCCTTCGGTTTCGTCACACCATTTTTGGTGTTCACAAGGAGTTACTATAATTTATCTAGTCTACCAACAATTTCGTTATGAGACACCCAATGAGAGATCTTTCATTCTGTATTAAGAAATAGCTGCCTCAGCCCAGAAGGCATCACAAGTATGCTTTGCCCACTATCTCCGATCGGTCGAGTTAGCTATTAAAAATGAAGTAGTCTATCGTACAATCAGAAAGCAAATGCTGCAAACAATTGCTGCTACTGTGGCACTCATAGGTCCGGTTACAGGTGGGGCATAACGCTTGCATATAGAGAGGTTGTCGACGCCGATAACACACCAACAACAGCGAAGGGATCATGACGCAAGCCATCTGTTCGTTACGTTTTTTATTTAGTACATTCAAATAAATTCTCAGGACAGTATCGATACCGAGGCCTGAAAGCCAAGTGCAATAGGTATTAAAGAGACTGCACCTTTTGACCGTAGTGTGCATCCACTGTTACTTTTGTAGAAATACTTGTAATGACCTTTTTGTTGACATTGTTGCAACTTCCCACATGGGCAGACACATGGGCAGAGCCCGCAATGTGGGCGAAGATTCCAAACCCGGTTTACAGGAGTGTGTTATGAGACAGGTGGAATACAACGTGTTATGGCTTTGAAGAAATGTTAGAGAGTGGTCGCTGTGTACCCTTGGACTTTACGAAGAGTTTCAATAGATCACTTACATTAAAATCAACATAACCTTTTCGTCTGGGAAAAATTATCATCGATGTACCGATGTCGTAGTGATCGTGAAGGCTACGACCTACATCCTTCAGATTGAGTCTAACAGGTCTATTCCATTTTGCTAGTTCATCGAAGGGAATGATTCCCTTAGTATGAACAACTGAGGTATCCCTGCCGCGCCGGAAGCAAGCGTGATCTTTTTGTTTGCAAAGAAACATTTTCAAACGCCTAACGTTATGCTAAAACGTTAAACGCAAAGGTTTAACGATGACCCCGCAAGTCTTCCGAGGTCACTTTTGATAACATCGATACGCTTTGCGAGAGCTTCAAGGAGGACATATGAGCGCCAACATAAGTCATGTTGAATTATTTGAAGGGAACTCCAAAGTGGACGACCAAGACAACCAGATTCCTTTTTAATAGAACGAATTGCTTAGCCGAACTCAGGTGACCCCTCGTTATGGTGTAACGCTATCTGTGTGCCGGTTAAGTACCTAGCGGGGTGCAAGAACACTTTTTAAAATAAATAATTCTCCTAATTTCTCGTAGAGACGTTGACCTTGCAAGTTCCCGTCTGCTGATGTTTATCATTGTTAGGGTTGAAACCTGTTCGGTCATACTTGCTAACTCACTTAGTCGTAATTACCCTTCTGACCCATCGAATAAATCGACCTATTGAAAATCTTCCAAGAACTTTGTTAGAACTATACATTACACCCTTTGTTTTCCACCGATGATTTATCCGCGAAGGTTCTACAGTAGAACCATGGATATGGGGATTAACCAGGATCATTAATGGTAATCGTGTTCATATGTTTAGCAAAGCATTCGGCCCTATAAGTACTACAATATATTTACTTGATGGACAATTCGAAATAATGCAGCGAGGTCACCTTGTAAAATTATATTATAGGAAAGCGATTATTAGTTTTGGTTACTTGACTCATGACTTAGTAATCTCACAACAGTAAGCGCAACGAAGCAAGGGTACGTAGATACTGCCTGCTCCGACATGGTATACCTGCAGTAAACAGAGAGTTGTTGCCAAATTGCCATCCTACTTCGCCGATACTTTCGGGAGTAAGTTCGTCATAACGTTCAATGAGTTTCCAATATAGTTTGAGTTTTCAAAATAGAAATTTTAAAGTTAATGATTCTATATATTTGACATAAGCAATGGGTCGGACACTGGTTTTGTCGCAGCCATTGAGAGAAAACTTTTCACGAAATATTCAACTTTCGAGCATTCTCAGCATTAAGGCATTAACTGACTTCACTGTCTTACGAGACGACCGAAAATATCTTTTTTTTCCCGTCACTACGACATATGGGGATATCCATGAGTATCCTACAAAAAATCCCACGAGTTCCCTTATTGGGACTCGTATCCCTTATTAGGACAAAATCACTACTCTGACGTTATTGCTTGTACAGCAATAAAAATTATGTATAGAATAGCTGTGGATCAGTACATGGATGACACGGCCTCTACTCTTGAAGCTACACATTTTTTTCGCCCCCAAGCCCCCGCTACCCATCCAGACGTGATCCATGACAGTCCTTGTTTAATCTACGGCTACGCATCCCATGGTGAGACAGAAAAACGGTTAATAACGGTCCAGATTCCTTGAGGTGGATATGGTTATGTGGCACTTCTGCTGAATTGTCACGAAAGATCTTGAGTTAGGTGCGACAGCTTTACCATGTCAACCTCGAAATCTTTTAATGTTCACTCTCACGTCATGATTAGGCCATCTCCGCAAAAATAACGGAAATGACATTTTCGGCCCCTACAGAACGATTTATCTCTTCGAGAAAATAGCACATCGTCACTGAACAGAGCATCACTCTTCAACAAACATGGCCTCCTCGTCCTGTGGTAGAAACAATGCACCGCTTGCTCAAATCACGTTAACAAATATTTAATTTTGTAGCGAAATCAAAAGTTAAATAACGAATTTTGAATGCGAAATGGTCGTTTATATCGTGAAAGTATAGCACAGTAAAGCTCCAGCAGGCGGCGCTGTCAGCGATACCTTAAATAGCACCAAGTGGACATTGCCTGCCCGCGGTTGCAAAAGGAATACAAAGCCGTTGGAAACATTGGAAATGAATGTCCACATTGTACGTAGGTTATTTTAATAACATATATTGTATATGAAACATCAAGAATAATGATAAAAATATATAGCATTTATATGAGTGTATTGACATCGCGTACAAAAAACCAAATGTAAATATAGATACATATATACAAATTGTCTCTAATGGTCTACAGAATGTATCACACTTAGAATTAGCCATACGATTGGTCGTTTTATTTTCAATCAATTTATATATATATATATATATATATATATATATATATATAAATTAAGTTCATAACTATTTACATGGATTTTCATTTACGCTTTAGGGTTTTACAACAAAGTAAAGGCGGTGGAAGGTGCTAAGCTTTTTCTGGATGACACAGGCTTGAAACTGAATATACACCTGAACGTTTTGTACTTAGTCACACATACGCATACGAATGTACCAGTATATATGTGCATCTAAAGAAACTGGCTTTTAGATCTGATGTATTTGTGTGCATGTGCAACTATATAATTTGGTTTAGATGATCTGACATTACACCTATATAGTCATAGGTCAATCACTATTTGCTTAGGCGATAAAAAAACTGATCCATAGTATACTAATCATCACTTCCAATCAAGTAATGAAGCGCTAATTTAATAAAAGAGACGATTATCACATTAATCAACGAAAGTAGGAAATAGTTTTCGTTGAAAGTAGAAGTAGTGCCTAGTTTATTCTCTGCGACGGTCACTTATACGGTTTCATTGGTTACAGCTATCAAAATCAACCTTACCTACCTTAAAGTGCCAGCTCCACGTTCGCCTATTGAAACTTCACTAAATTCCTATTTATCAACATCAAACGCTTACGTTGTACGATTTATAGCTACACTGATAGGCGTGCGGTATGGCCGGATGCCGATGTATTATATGTTTCCATAGTGACGCATTTGCCTCACCCCCGGCCAGTGGCAGAGCTCCACTATTCATCGACAACAACTATAGCTGAGTAAATATCAACTGGCATGCCGCTATCACCAGTACGATTGTGCTTCTTTACATAATACTTTTATTCACGGTTGAATCGGCGTTGTCTAGGTAAGGAAACGCTAACAAATGGACTGTGAGAATCGAAAGTGTATACCATATAAGCTGTACATACGAGTTATGATGTTATATGATTCGCAGATATTAAAGGCTAACATAAGCAGGAAACTTCTACATATGTATTAAACTCATATTTCCGTAGTAATGTTTTTCCCTTCTTTGGTTGATTTAGCTCAATTCTAAGGCAATAGGAGTTCTCTAAGTGTTGAAGAGGTGATTCATTTCCGCACGCAGTCACAATGGAATTGTGGCTATCCGTGTGCTACGGTTTCGTTGGAAAGAAAATGCAAAGCCAGAGCAGCTTTTTGCATAGGAGCGAACATGTCACTGTTCGCACCTATGCAAAAAGAAGGCCAACACAGACGGCCGACGCAATTACCGTGTGCCGCGTCAGGTGCTAAACGCAAAGTGGCGCACTTTTTTAGAGCAGCGATTGACTTCCACGACTGGCTGCGAAGAACGTTTTTCGCAGCGGCCTCTGTAAACCCATACTTTTTGGCAGAGGAGGCTGACAACATTTCAAGCATAGCGAGAAACTTCCCAATCTGTCCGTGTACCGAGATCCACGGCAAACAGTTCGAAGCTTGGGTGCCTCATGGGTCCGGCTGTTGTAGCTCGTATCGGCATACAGTCAGATCAATAACTAGATGGGTTTTTTCGTACGGCTATAAGGTGGATACCCTGCAAGAGAAATAACTTTGTTAAGTGTCATGCATAGAGCTTCTAAGGCAACTATGTAGTGTTGACGTTAATCTCGAGATAATAGATTGAACCTTTGGATATTTGTTACTATTGAAGCGTAGCCACCAAATGCAAATTACTGCTGAGATGATCATTGCTGCCAGGATCAGTTCGAAATCATTTTTGCTCAGGCGACCCTGTTGAATTGAGAGAAAAAAACAGCTATCCATTCAGAAACTTTTGAATCTGTCAGAGACGTCTACCCATTGGGACAGGGTCTTCTTCGCACTCATCTTATATAACCCTCTAAAATAAAATAGTACACTTTCTGGCCAAGGTGTCCTCCAGCAGACGTCATCTAGCTCCAACTTTGCGCCATCACTGCCCAGTCTTTTTATCGAAAAATCATTTAATTTGTCGAACAGCATAAATATGTACACGGGTCAATATATCGACGTTGTGGATGCCGCTTCCGTGAAGATGGTGATATAACATTGAGTAAAAACTATAGTAAATAATAATTGTTTATAGCTTTAGTAGCAAGTGTCTTTGGTAAAATAAATTGTCAACGATACATGAAAAATTGGTACAGCTTTATGGGTTTGTTTCATACGTTATAAACAAGCATGACATGTTCGTATTCACGGCCACTTGTTTCCCTTAATTTCAAAACAATTAATTCAACCTCTAACATTCCTTATGATTTTGCCAGGTCATTAATCCAGTCTTAACAAAGTGATATTTAATTGGTCTTGCTAAAGTGGATGACATTATTCAGTATCGCTAATGTAAATCGTTGAAAACTAACGCTGGACTTGTTTCAGGGCATACCGTCGCAAGTGGTACAAAAATAAGCATACAATGACGTCAGTCGAAGTGGACCCGCTGTGTCGCGCATTGTACTATTATCGCCAACTCAAGTTCGACAAATGTGTTGAATGCTGTGAGAAAGCTTTCGAGAAGAACCCATGTGACCAAGCGGCATGGGCTCTCAAAGCCATGGCACTAACAAGGTGCAGTGTTCTTAGACTGAGTAGCTCAGGCATGATAGATGTCATCTTATTTAAGAGTGCTATGGTGGCCCCGAATAAAAATACTCTATAATAATAAGTTGATTAAATTTTATATACTGTGAAAAACTTCTTTTGGGTTGAACTTTTTAAGCTTATATATGGGCTTACCAGCCGGTAATGCCGACTGTGTACTAATTTCTGCTATATATATATATTGGGTCAGGATACAAATAACCTTTACGAGCGATTATGTTCAAACTCGACGCTCATTTGTAATACACGATTTGTTTTCGTTTTAAATATACTGTTGCCTAGTCAATCCGAACACGATTTTTTTCAGAATGGTTCACGTCGATGACCTAGAGATCGAGGAAGAGGGTATCGCCGAAATCCTCTTGGATGACAACGCTATCGCACAGGTAGCTCGTCCTGGTACATCCCTCAGGACATCATCTTCTGCCCAAGGAGCTAACCCATTGATGAGGTAGGCCATGCAACTGAAAGGTATAAGTACCATGGGACACATCATATAATACGTAATTAATAATTGGTTATGACCGATGTCAGCTTTGTTCTTATGTGTGCTGTGCTTGTAGACGAGCACAATCTCGAGCTGGCAGACCAACATTAAGATAAATTTTACCGTCAAAGGACGAATTTGCAGAACTGAAAATACTTCCGGATCTCTGTAACCCTTTAATCTCAGTATATATAC